ATGGTAATAATAATAATAATACATGCAATCTATAATGTTCGAGACCAAAACAGAAAATATCTAGATTATGACTAAGGAGTACGTTCGTGAGCTTTGCAAATTACACGAAATAAGATTTTTGTATGTCGCTCTCTGTCTTTGCGTGACGCATACTTAATTACTTATCCAAAACATGCATAAGATAATGCTTGCCTTCCATTACAAAAGTTATACTATCTTTATCTTAAAAAAATAATTTAAAAAATGTTATATTGTTTCAAGACTCGATACGGACTATTCTTTCGAGACATGGGAGTTTTTTCATTCATTTAGAACAAGAAAAGTATTGAAAAAACCTTTTTTTTTTTTGAAAAGATAAATATTGGAAAAAAAGAATTTCAAAAAAGTTTTGGACGACAGAAGCTTTTAAAGGCGCACAAGTCACAACATTACTCTCCGAGGTTGGTTTAAATCTAATTTTCTAATTTAATTTGTTTTAAAAGTAGCACAAGAATTGGAAAATTATTGATCTTTTCGCTCTCATTCTTCATCCTGACATGATGTATCAATACATATCTTTGAGAAAATAATGCATTACAGGCTTGAAATACATCCTCTTTATGAAGCAAGACAAGCATTGTTGGGCTTGTGGGGTTACACCCTTAAGATTAGTAGTACTGGACTACTACTGGTTATATAAAAAAAACTAAGAAATATAAATACAGCTTTTATGGAAAAATAAAACCACACAAATGCATACACAAAAACTTTAGTACTCAATCTCCCTGTTCCAAAATTAAAATAATACAGTAATTATTATAATAATTATTTTAAGAGAGAAGAAGTGTTATTTGATTGGAGCGTTATACTATTTATATCGATTGTACGAGTTAGAGGAACGTTCGTGCAGAGAGGGAGGTTGCCCCCTCTTCAACTATAAGTGTGCGCTTCCAACCAACATATTGCAAAAAGAATCTCAACTTTTGGTTGGCTCCACTCATCACTGATCGATCGATCAATTGCCCCAAAGTTTTTTTTTTTTTTTTTTTTCTTTTCTTTTCTTCTTGTTGGTAAGGCACCCCACCCCATGTGTAAAAGGGTCCCCAAATTCCATATATTTTGTTTTGATGCTCTTAATTTGGAGTGATTGTCTTTGCTGTTGTAGTGTTGTTCCTTTCGTTTAATTAGTTGACCTCTGTGTTTGTTTCCTTCTCTTAAGTACACTTTATGGATCGATCAACTCTTGTAATACGCCAATAGTTTAATATACTACATGCATGTGTGTGGTAACACCATCAACTTCAAACCCTCCAAAGTATATTGATAAATTGTTTATTGTTCTAAGTTCGGTGCACATACATATAACATTTTTAAAATTTGTTTAAATGCCTCAGTCAATGATAAATCTATGTCAAAGTTGTATTACAAATACGGTTGATCCCTCAAGCAATTACCTTTAAGAATCAGAAAGATTTCTTTTACGAATACAATATTAATATGTTAGTTGTATAGATCAGAAGTCATCATCGTAATATTTGTAATGATCGGACATTATAGTTGGTGATTGGTATCCTTACGTTAGAAAAGGAGGGGGTACCGGCACCATGTGATCCGGTGAATGGTTTGGCCACAATGGGAAAATAAGGGCAGCCCTACGAAGTGACTCACTTTAGTGGTCCGGGCTCCCCTCCCCTCTCCCCCATGGGGGTTGGCCTTTCAAGTTATGTCATGTCACTTCGTGATTCTCTCATTTGAGAGTACTCTGATCCGTGGTGAAAAAAAGAAGAAGAAGAACTCAACTGCATGTTACCCCCAACCCCCTCGTGGGGGAAGGGATTACCCGTAATGGTCCTCGGTACCACACAATAACATCATCATCATCATCATCATCTAACAATTGACCTCTAACCTTATTCCCCCCAAAGTCCAAACTACTCATTTCCTTTTTGATTGTACACTTTTTACGGGGCGAAAAAAGAAAAAGAAAAAAAAACCACAAAAGTGCTTCCCTTTTGTTAATCACGTAAGCAGAAACAAATCACTGGCTACTAACTAACCACATTGTCCACACATTCCTCTTATTTCTCTGAAATCTTTAGTATACTTGTTTTTTCAATGGTCCAATACGTGGGATTCGAGAATTGATGATTTGCGATTTTGTGGGACTCGAAAAGTTGATGATATGCAATAGTCCATATGAGTCTCATGTGAAAACGGAAAAATAAATTTTACAACAAGCTTTATGGGTTATTTTTTGCATATTAAATTTGTCCTACATGCCGGGCTACTCAACGCATGATTTTCTCACCATATTATATTGCAGGCGTTGGCTACCTTAGTTATTGTAATATCGAGAAAATTATAGATCAAATTTTTTTTTTTTTTTTTTGGTTCCAATTACTTGTGATGCTAATTTGTTGAACTAACTAGACGTACTGGACCATGTTCGATCCAGGGCTCACCATGCACACAATAATTTTTGCCTTATCTTTCAGACTCATCTGACAAATATTTTCTTTTTTTTTTTTCATTTCCTTTTTATGGCACCCCCAGAAAATAGGGACCTGTGAATTTAATACAAAGAGATTTTATTTTATTTTTTCCCATCACGTTTACACCACAAGATTAATCCAGAGGTTTTTCATTTTGTTTTTCTTTTATGGGTTTGAAGTTTTGAACTTGATATATAGAGTTTCACTGAAATTTCAAAATATGGGTTCCAGATAATTAAGGATCTCTCGCTCTCATAATTTCATCATATATTGTTTTTGCTGCACGTAGGTTTTTGTTTGGCCTTAATATATACACAATATTTTTCGCATCGCAATCAGATGTTAACATCCCACATGAGCTCACCCATTTCCTTCACTTTGAAGCATTAACATCATTCCATTAATTATTAGATACATATATGGTCACGACTCACGTCTCTCATGACCCCCCAAAAAAAAGAAAAATATCATTTCTCAAAATTAAATTTCACGGTTTGTTGACTTTAATTTATTCGTTTTAATAATAGCTCGCATGCTCCAAACAAGTATTTTTGGTAGAGATCATAATCCCATTTGTTTAGTATTAATTCTGCGATAATATTATGTTTGAACAGCAAAATATGACAATTTGGGCGTGTTTTATGTTCATAAATTAACATAAATCACTAATTTGTGTGTGTCAGCATTAATTAGTTTCACAACACTAAGTCTAGTACGTGTTTTAGTTGAATACACGATCCTTACAAATGCATGTTTCTGAGTTGCAAGTTATGGATTATCGATCACTATATGTAGAAAAAAAGAATAACAAAAGGTTTTAAGTTAACAAAAATGTGATTGCTGCCAAAAAAGCAGAGCAGAAAGGTAATCGAAATGATAATCTAACATTGATCCTCACGAGAAAAGTGATGATTATATGTAGATAATAGTCGCACGACCTTAAAAGATGTAACCTTTTGACAAAGATACGATACTGAAGAACACGTAGAAATTATTTGATTCAGCAAGAATTTCCCCAGGGTCAAGGCATTCTTGATTCAGAAGTTCTGCATTGGGGGCAGAAATTTCGAAGATCGATGATGCCATCCTAGTCAACACACATAGGGGGAACCACCCAAGAATGATTGATACTTCAGAGTAGAAAAAATATTCAGTTCTGTTAACCTGAAAACAATTATACAAGAAATTTTAAAATGAAGAATGAGTATTCGTTTGTAATACTACCTTTTTTTTTTTTTATTTAGAAGCATTTGACGAGTTTTTTTTTTTTTATTCCTTCTGATAAGAAGTTTAATAATTTTCAAGAAAGTATTGCATAAATTTTTTTCCCATTAATTACGCTATTAACTAACTAATAATATCATAGATGAAGTAAGGTTAATTTAGTAAATTGATGATATATAATGAGACAAATAATTGAAATTTTTTTATTAATACGTATAGAATTAGTCACTTGCACCTGATGAAAAAGGAATTTAGGTAGTAATTAAAATTCTCGTAAATGAAAAACGCCGGAGACTGGAGACGATGACGAAAAGAGTGTAGCTACCCACCAGATCTCGAAAATCAACCAATAACATGAAACCCATTAGTCATGCAAAAGAGCAAATCGTGAATATAAAAATGTATGTATAGGGTAGTTGAATTAATAAAGTAGTAGTATTAGTGGATCTGATATCTTGGACTAGATTTCATCGACTAAAAGCTGGAATGTTATTATACATTAAAAAAAAAAAAAAAGAACTAGCCAAAACGGGGGAAAAAAAAATGAATGTAAAGATGTTTAGATAATTAAACCCTGTTTGTTTAATGTTGGTAGCATGTGTTGGATATCATCATCGACCTAATCACATGCTCCACACTACAACAGATTTTCTAGGGTAAATGTATCGGAATAGTAAACATCAAATTATTTGCCGTCCAGTTTAAATTTTCCTTTTATTTTTTTTATAGTAGAAAAAGAAAAAAAAAAAGAAAGAGAGACATCATTGAGATTTCTTTTAGAATTTTGACTACTTCACATTTCATACTTATAATTAGTATCGTTGAGGTTGAACCAAATGATACTCTCTCGCAACTTATTTGTAAGACCCAAGGAAAATTGAAATCTGAATATTTGATAATTACATGGAGAACCGAAATAAATACCATGCAAAACCATTCATCCATTTTAATTTTCAAATTAAATCTGGAGACCATAGGCCATCATAAACTCATACTTGAAGTGATGAACAAGAAAATTAAAACTCATCATTTCATCAAAATATCCAAAAAGATGTCACAGATTTGGCTTGATTTAGACTACAAGACCTTTTTTTTAGTTCCATATTTTGGTTAAAAATGACCGTGTATATACGTTCGTATCTATTTCATCTATGCGCAAAGTGGTTGATGTTGTTGAGAAATTGGCCACTCTCTATCATTCTTAATTAAATCTATGGTGTCGAGATTTTCTTAACGTGTTACATAGGGTTTTAAAAAAAGCATAAAAACATCATGGCTCATCGTATGTTTTTAGTAATTTCATTTCGCCGGTTGTATTTTTCGCTCTGTTAGTTAATGGACCACGTAATATAGACTTCAGAGCTCGACCATGAATAACATTGGCAGAATCATTCAACAAGAGGAGGAATAGGATGAAGCATCCATCTATTTTCGTGTCTGAATATCAATTGATTGAAAAATTGGTGGTTGCATATATATGTGGGCCAACACTTCTTCCTCTGGGCTGCAAATTGCTATATAGTACTAGTAAAATTAAATAGGTTAAGAAAGGTTAGTAAGCTATAAGGTATCGGCCTGTGCACCGAGGTACAGTATTCAGTTCAAAGCCGAGCAACATAACAGTATCTGAACTACTTACTAGTACTAATTAACTCCCCTTGATGGCTTGATCTATATCAGTTTGATAATGAAGAAGTGTGTAGTGACGATCCGGCTGCACCAAACAAGAGCAGAATCTTCGTTACACTTTGATAAAATCGACCCAAAAACTGCACATTCATTAGTATGGACAAGGATTTTTGCGACCAAGGACTACAAGTTTTGACTAATTTATCTCTGCTTTGCAAACTTACCAGGCAGGAATGCACATCTTGGCATCCACAAATCAGCTCCCCGTTGGAAGTGTCCACTGCTTGAAATGCCCCTCCTCCCTCACTTCTCTGGATCACATTTTCATACCACAACACATATATTCAATGGTGAAAGGAGAATAAGCGCAGTGTAACATTTTGTTACGATGCTAATAGCCTATAATATTAAGAAGTAAGTAAGTTTTCATTTGATTAATGGAACTGACCTTATAATAATCGACGGCGATGAAATTAGCCCATCGGTTCCCCGAAGCAGCATAGCAGGTTTGAAGCATGTCAATCAATCTCCCTGAATTCTGTACACAAGCTAATGGTTTGATGGGCACTGATCTGAAGTAATTCATCAACACCAACGATTTTGTGGTGTCGTTTAGAGGCGATGATTCTCCCCTGTTGAAACAACTCCCTGCATTCATTCCTCCATTCCCATCTACAAACACGAAATGCAACAAATTTTACACTTTCGACCGCACCTATTTTTGCTAACGTCACTTCATTTACTATCGTTATCAACAGTTGCAAATGTAAAATTGAAAGTAGACGTTTTCTCACATTGATTTTCGACCATGTAGTTCCATTGATATGCAATGCCTTCACTCTGTTCTTTGGACCTAATCGAAGTAAACACCAATAGGCGTTGGTTGTTGGTTACCATATCACTGACAAGTGGCCAGTCTCCACCATTTTCCGGCATGTTAGAAACCGGAAACCAGTACTTCATTAGTCCTGCGTCTGTGAAGACCTTGGTTAGTCCGTTGGGAGCTTGAACATAGTCTTCTAAGATTATTGTCACTATTTCTGTTGGATTTGCTGTTAAAAATGCCTCGATTTCCTTCAACGTTTCTATAGCCGGTTCCTACTATGAAAAGATATTAAATAAGCTCGATTAATCAAACATACTCACTGTAATCTAACAATGTTTGAAATTAGGAAACTTACAAATGCAGTGTAGTCATGGCAATGGCCTTTGAAAGAATGACACAACCATACATCTCCTCGGAAGTCATATGTATCTAGCATTAGTGCTCGAACTCCATGCTACATTTTTTAGGGTAGTTTGGTTAGTCATATTAACAAAACTAACTATTTTTTTAGACGGAGAGAGTATATTGTTTATGAGATTATGTGGCGATTGAATGGGAATGCTTACATTAAGTTGCTCGGTGACGTTGTCTTCTTGATTTCTGAAAGTTAGTCGAGGAATTCTTGTATGCGAGGGCTCCCTCTTAATCGCAAACGAGTTATGGGTTGCCAAGAAAGCGTACTTGTTGAATGGTAACGAATTGTTCTGCAATTCACCACGTTGTGCCGTACATGAGAAGATCGACATTCTTAATAAGACCGAAATGTACTAAAAAGAGGCATTGTTGAACGGACAATTAGGGTTAATATATCCTCGAAATGTACTAATATGATTTAAATTTATGCCTCTTTTAATGTACCGATAAAAAAGAAGATAGCTGTTCATAATTCATCGACTTCACATAAGGGATAAAAAACACATTTTCCAAGAATAGAGGAAGCGAGAGAGACAAAGAATTTTATTCTCTCCGTCCCAAAATTATTGTCTAATTTGGAATTTCAGTTTCAGTATAAATTACACTTAAAATGAAACTTCAAATTGGACAATAATTTTGGGATAAAGGAAGTAGTATTCTACTATGATACAATATCAATGGAGACGGTAGAAAATGGGCGGAGAAATTACCACAATGCTGAATTGGTTAGTGGCGGTTGATCTAACGCACCTAGAGAGCTGAAACCCAGCCGGACAACACAGGCAATAAAGCCCTGCCGCGCAATCTGAATCCGACGAGCAATCTCCCAAAAACTGCATTCTCCCCATTTTAAAATTACACAGCAACATCAAAACAGCTTCAACGAGAAAGTTGAATTTTATGATTTTCATTTTACCTTGCATGAGTCGTTGGTGCATACCGCTGAATGATCATCACCGGCGGCATGATTTATCATCAGCAACATACAGATCATGATCGGACGGATCACTGATATCCCAAGGACCGCCATGAAGCCCGGGGAGATTAAGTATTTAAAAATGTTAGGCACTACCAAAAAAGGAAAAAAAAATTATAGATAGAAGAAAGAATTTGACCAATTCAAAGACATCATGGAATTGGAATCTGATTTGCATTTTTTTTTTACAGAATTTTATTTTCGGGTGATTCTTTCTTCCATTTTTCCTGTTATGACTATTGTTGAGTTGAAAGTGTTGGACATTAATCATGATAATGCTTCTTTCCTTTTTTTTCTCTTTTTTTTTTTCCAATAATCACGATTTTTATCATTGTGATTCCATTTGAAAAACTCCAACATTATGAAACTTATGATATCATGAAACCTTTTCTTCTCGTAGTTAAAGTTTGAACATGAAGTCAGTTTTCCAATTAGATGTACACGAATGAAATACCAATGGCCAATTGGACATTGCAACTACTATGTTGAACACCATTTTAAATGCAAAATAAATAAATGAATAAAATTATCATTCATAATAGTTATCCTACATATTTCAAAATATCCCAACGGATTTTATCTGATTTAGGAGTCTATGATTTTAGTTCCAGCTTGTTAAAAAAAACAAAAATCAAGCAATGTGAGTTACTGAGTTTAACGTTAGTCATCGTGGAATCTTATCTTGATCATTATATCAAAATGGAAAATCCGCAAAAAAAATCGGTTAGTATTGTTGAGAAACCTACTACTCTCTCAGACTCTGTCTATCAATGTTGTCACGTCTAATTCTCATCTATCCAAGACTTAAAAACAGCTACTTTCCGGTTATATCAGTTTCCTTTGTTATCCTTCGCATTGATCGCATTTGTTGCTACAATTATGCTCACATAATGATTTTGTGCCGGTTTTCAATCATCGCATTTCGTGATGAATTTTCACCGATCGCTCTTTTCCTTTATGGGTTGACCTTACAAAAGATTGGGATTAACCGATTAAGTCTCAAAGGAAAAAAGGGTTGGATTCACCAAGTCAATTCCTTCTTTGCCTGGATTGAAAAATTGGTGATTAATTGTAGGCGAATTCATAACAATTTACATTTTATTAATTCATGTGTGACCCATTATTATTTAATTTCTCTTCTTCCTCCGAGTCGAGAAATGTCTACCATCGACAACAGTCAGTAATCCTTCTCGCATATGCTTTATACGTAGTTAGTATTTCACCGTTTTAAAATAATGATATTTCATTTCCTTGAACGGTTTAAGTCCTTAAAAAATTGAATATATATGGGACATCATGATGGTTGTGTTCCTTAAAAATTCTGCTGTTATCCTGTTTTATCAGTATAATCTTTGTAGCATAACAGTAAGAATTGTAACTAATGCACGGGAATGCAGTATATTTCAATTTGATAACCGAGCAAAGTGACAGTATCTGAATTCTGAACTACTCTGTAAGTAAACTCCCCTTGGATATATAAATCTTCATCTATCTATCATCTTGATAATGAAGGTGTGCATGGTGGCGACCCCGGCTACACAATCAAAATCAGAAATTTTCATTTCGTACGTATATCATTAATTATTGCTCTTTCATTAAGAAAAAAAAATTTGATAAAAAAATTGCTATACTAACTTGTACAGAGAAGGCAAAAGATCTTTATGGGACGAATTTCCTAGAATAAGTTTTGACTAGTTTAATTACTTTGGCAACTTACCAGACAAGAATGTACATCTTGGCATCCACAAATTAGCTGCCCATTGGAAGTGTCCACTGCTTGAAATGCCCCTCCTCCCTCACTCCTCTGCATCACATTTTCATACCACAACAAAAATTAATTGGTGAAAAGAGAATTAGCAAAATTGTAACATTTTGTTACAATGCTAAGATTAAGAAGTGGAATAATTTTTAATTTGATTTGTAATTGAACTTGAACTCACCTTATAGTAATCCACAGCGATGAAATTAGCCCATCTGTTACCCGAAGCAGTATGGCAGGTTTGAAGCATGTCAATCAATCTCCCTGAATTCTGTACACAAGCTAATGGTTTGATGGGCACTGATCTAAAGTAATTCATCAACACCAACGATTTTGAGGTGTCGTTTAGAGGGGATGATTCTCCCCTGTTGAAACAACTCCCTGCATTCATTCCTCCATCCCCGTCTACAAACACAAAACGCGCAAAATTTTTAACACTTTCAACCACGCGATTTTTCACTAATGTCACGTCTTTTTTTGAAACGGTACTATTGTCACGTCATTCACTATCTCTATTAACATTTGCAAATGTATTGAAAGTAGAAGTTTTCTCACATTGATTTTCGACCATGTAGTTCCATTGATAAGCAATGCCTTCACTCTGTTCTTTGGACCTAATCGAAGTAAATACCAACAGGCGTTGGTTGTTGGTTACCATATCACTGACAAGTGGCCAGTCTCCACCATTTTTAGGCATGTTGGAAACCGGAAACCAGTACTTCATGAGTCCTGCGTCCGTGAAGACCTTGGTTAGTCCATTGGGAGCTTGAACATAGTCTTCTAAGATTACTGTCACTATTTCGTTTGGATTTGCTGTTAAAAACGCCTCGATTTCCTTCAGTGTATCTATAGCCGGTTCCTACTATGTGGAATAAAAAAAAAAAAAAATTGAATAAAAGATTAATCTAACAAACATGCTTAGTGAGTAATGCAGAATGGGGAAAATATTAAGGAATAAAATGTTGAAAAAGGGATACTCACAAATGCAGTATAGTCATGACACTGGCCTTTGAAAGAATGGCATAACCATACATCTCCTTCGAAGTCATATGTATCAAGCATCAGTGCTCGAACTCCATGCTACATTATTTTTAGCAAATTATTAGTAATGTAAAATTGTAAGATTCGAGGTTTCTTTAAGGTTTGATTTTGATATTCGATCAAGAACATCACTATTTGTAAGGAAACTTACATTAAGTTGCGCGGTGACATTCTCTTCCTGATTGTTGAAAGTTACTCTAGGAACTCCGGTGTGAGACTGCTCTCCCTCAATGGCAAACGAGTTATGCGTCGTCAAGAAAGCGTACTTGTTGAATGGTAACGAAATGTTCTGCAATTTTACCACATTGTGATACAAAATGCAATGTGAAGGAAGGAGCTTAAAAAGTCCTATTTTCAGTATTTTTGAATAGAAAATTGCTTATTTCGGAAAGTTAATGTCAAATGAACAAGAGGACCACCAAAAATGTTCCCCACTGAAGGTAGGTTAATGGGCTCAAAATCCATCTAGTACAAATGAAACAACAGAAGGACAAAAATGCATTTGGCCCAAGATGTGAACTTTTATTAGGTTGGATTATACGCTACGTGACTTTCCTTCCTAGAAAAATCAGATTGCAAATTGACATGAAGAATCTAACAATCAATTGGAAAATGCCAAATGCGGCAAAAACAAATATCGCATTTCATTAATTCATTGCCTTCACATGAGCATAGTGAAAACACACACACACACACACACAAACTGTCAGTGCTCTGCGTGCGAGTGTTTGAGGTTGCGACAACAAATGAAGTGCGAGAGATAAACGGAAAATATTGACAAATGGCCGGAGAAATTACCACAAGGCTGAATTGATCGGTAGCAGTTGATCTAACACACCTGGATAGCTGAAATCCGGCCGGACAAGACAGGCAATAAAGCCCCGCCGCACAATCTGAATCCGACGAGCAGTCACCCAAGAACTGCATTCAAATTCATCAGCAAACCTCAATCAAAAAACTAAGAGAGACCCAGAAAGTAGAATTAATCAATACATACAAATTTATCAATTTCAGTTTACCTTGCATGAATCGTTGGTGCAAACTGAATGATAACCAGCGGAATGATTCACCATCAGCAACACCAAAATAATGATCGGACGGAGAACCGATCTCCCGGGGGCCGCCATATTTTGCAGAATCCGGGAGAGATTACAGAGAGAAATCCTCTAGGGGAAATTCAAAACACATGGATTGCATTGCCTAATGTACTAAGAAGCAACCTCCTTTGTGGAACTTTATAGTATTAAACTACTGTGGGGAGGAGATTCAGTTCACACGCGCTCCCGGTTAATTTCAATTAGTGCTAAAAAAATTATATATTTGGAGTTGGATTATATTAGCCAACAAAGATATCGAAATCATTGAATTTCAGGGAAACATGATAAATACTAAATACAAGAAACAACGATAATGTCTATAATAGATTTTCCCGCATTGATATCCAGAATCCTATTTTGGAAGCTTTCGTCTTACTTACAGGCTAGATAGTAACTCTATGTTATTACGTACCGTTTTTAGGTCGCACCCAACAAAAATATATATCAAGATTTTCATCATTTAAAACAAAATGGATTTTTGTACAGCTAAAGTCTTACTCGCACTTTGGTTAGGAAGGAAAAAGAATATCCGGGGGGATATATGAATATATGACCATATTTTAGGTGTGGTATTATTTTTCCATATATACAAAAACCAAATAAAAAGCAAGTAAATTTATTTTAAGAACACACAAAAAAAAAAAAACAAAGCAAAACAGTCTAATTAATCTTACAGGCTTTGAGAGTGATGGAGTTATTCTATTGATTGACGGAGATAAATATGACCAAAATCACAATCGCAACTTGCAAAGCCAAAACGTACAACGTTTGGAATTGTTGTTCGTTTTTTGTGTGTTCATTAGAATTACGTACACGCAAATTGCTGGAAAATGTTGTGTATATATAAAATAAGTTGAGAGCTATGCTATGGAGAGATTGTACTTGCATGGTAATATCGTCGCGGGTCACATAGTGACATGAAATTGCCAAATTGTAATGTCCGTATTTTTATGCCTGCTGTTTCGTGTGTCATTGTCAATTTGTCACCAAAAGAGAGCAGAAGAAAATATTCGGATCATTTTTATTTTTTTTCTTTTTTTTTTTTGGTACAAACAAATATTCGGATCATTTGATTGGCTTCGTCGGACTGGTGGATTTTGGATGGGGTCCATAGTCTGAGTCAGATTGGCTAAAGTTAATTTTGTTTTTTTGATAATTTAAAAAAAAAAAAAAAGAGAGAAAGAAGAAGAAGATGCAATTAACAACCTTAATTCTGAATGAAAGGCTCTATTCAGATCGAAATGAAGATTAGGGGTGTGATAGTTAATAGCTGTTCAAAGAGTTCATGATTTTGGGGGGCTCCTTTTTTATTATAAATAAATAAATAAAAGCCCAAAGATCCATATTGCAACCAGATAAAATTTGACTTCAAGACATAATTTAAACAACATTACGTGATACATTTTCTGATTCCTAGAGCCATTAGAAAGAGAAGAATACGTATGTCGTTTGCTATAAGTTAGTGCAGCACATTTGAATGGATCCAGCATAAGTGAACCAATTTTATCAGGTTCAATAAGTCGTGATGAATAATAATAAAAAGAACCTATATAAGTGCATTTGCCTATTGAAAATTTTGTGGATAGAATTTCTTCGACTACGAATGTAGTTAATTAATCACTTTCACGATGAGATGTTTTTTAAAAGAAAAAAGAAAAAGAAAAAGAAAAAAAAACTCTAATAGCTGAGTTGTTTTTGTTGGGTATTACTCCCTCAATTTCAAAATGTAAGTATTTTTAGACTCTGCACGCAAACTAAGGAGATAATAATTCAACAATTAATTTATGTATTAAATATCTGTTTTACCCCTTATTAGTTACATTGAACCTATAAATAAGATTAAATGAAAATAAATTGGTATCATTTATTGATGGTAAAGTTAGAAAAATAATCATTAATTTGCCCCAAATTTATAAAACGACTTACATTTTAAAAGATCTCTCCAAACCTAGAACAACTAATAATTTGAAATGGAGGGAGTAATATATAAAACTTATGTTTGATCGGTTGAATTGTTACTGAAAAAGCTCTTCAATCTGTTTTAGTTTTTGAATATAGGCGTTGGTAAAGGAAATAGAATTGGTTTAACTTTGGACATCCAACAAAATTTAAATAGTGTTATAAATAAAAATTTAAATAGAGCATGTTTGGACTTTTCAAAAATCAGAAAAAAGAAGGGAAATAGAATTGAGCTGTCAAACTGGTTTACATTGCTTTAATTATCCGGGAAACAAAAAATTCATCACACACAGTTGATAAGGCTACTAGTAAAATATCCATTGAAGTACATCACCTAAAAAAAAAAAAAAAGAAAGAAAAAAAGAATGAGTATTACTTCTTTGGTACATATTCATGTTGAAGTGTTGCTATGTAGTGTAGTGTTGTGTATCAGAGCCAGTGGGGATATGGTGAATGAACATATGAAAACGAAAGCTTCATGATTTTTCATTTCCGGCGAAGAAACGGTTGATGGCAGGCATGACTTCCGGCGGGCGGGTCCGGAGAAATTTGCGAAGGCCGTGTTCTGCATATTTCTCTCCTTCCTCTTGGTTTTCCAGAACTGCTGTTTTACGGTGAGTCTTATTCACTCTGCTAATCAATAAAGCAACAAAATAATTCGTTAATATGCATATAAAATGCTTGAATATGTATATGATGATCAATTCCGTTATGGCATTACATAACAAAATTCCCTCTGCGCGTCTTATAAATAGGATCGAAGAATGTATTAAAAACAACTTACCTGACATCAGGATTCAAGAGTATGTTTCTTGTAAGCTGAAAAACACACATCCCTGTAACAAAGGTCATTGCCCCCAGCAAAGGGTATATCTGTGTAGTTGCACAAATTTCATGCATGAAAATATTAGTTAACACTTCAAAGAAAAAAAAATATTACATAAAATAAAACCTTGCTTCGCCATAATTTAATCATTAAACATGATTTAAAGAACAGTCAGTACTTTTTTCTTCTAAAATAATTGTCTTATTGTACTAAAATTTTGATGTGAAATTAGCTTACCTCAGGCTTCATCCAACGCCCCATTTCTTGCTTGATTTTTGGCTAATTTGCTCCAAAGAAAGGCTACAACTTTGTTATTATGAGAGTGATTAAATAGTTGCTAGATTTCTATAGTAATAAGATGTGTGAGTTCGAAATGTGTTTTATAGTTCAGTTAAGGGGGACAGGGTCAAAGGTGGAGAATAAACAACGAATGACTTGACTAATATGATTGGATGGAAGGTGGCGGGCTTAAATGTGATTGGCTGGACTGGGGTCAATTCCTTCCTTGGTTCAGGACGACAACATCTTTGTTTTCCAGGTTTTCCAGTGGGCTGATTAAAGTAAAGTTAAATATATATCTTGACTTTCACAAGATGTGCAAAACCAGGTGCTTAGCCGATTGTTTTCTTTCTTTGGAAAAGTAAAAATTGATTATGAATTTATCCAGCGGCATGTTCATGACAAGTTGGATAGATTGTTCCAAACCCTTGCCATCCCTTTTTCAAGCTTATTGAGGAAAAAAGAAGATTTTGATTTCTGACCAGAATATTTCCATGTAGTAGTCATTGACATTTCCAAGGATGATTGATATCTAATAATTTTTTTTTTTACAATAAAAGAGACGAACGCCTTACAATTCTAGTTTATTACAATACGTTGGTATGAATACCAACAACAAGTTGTAACCAAGGCTTAATAAAGGAGATTAACGCCATAAAATTCTAGTTTATTACAATAAGTTGGTATGAATACCAACAACATCAAGTAGTAACCAAGGCTTAATGCAAGTCGGTGGTTCCTCCAGCCATTCAAAACCTCCTGGACATGATATTTAATAATCTTTAAATAAGTATTTATTCTTTTTCGTCCCAAAAGAATTATGTTAATCAAACGAGAAGTATAACCCAAGATAACAAGCTTGACTCGTTTTTTAAACCGTGATTATGAGGAAGAAATCCTTCTTTTTTTAATATATATATATATATATATATATATATATATATATATATATATATGAAGGAAGCCATTGGCTTGGGGTTACAAAACATCCCTATGGTCGTGGGATGATCCTAACTTATCTATTAATAAATATTCATTAGCTCCAGACGGTGGTGTAGACAAAATGTTAAATCCAACCGGACAGGAGAAGCCAAACTTGGCCAAAACATCCGCGACTTCATTTTGATTCCGTCGGGTATGCATAATTTCAACCTGCCAGTTGAGATTGAGAAGTTTTCTAATTCTATAGAAAACGTAACTATTTACAAACGAGGAGTCCTCGTTCGTCAAAAACTCAACCGCCTTTAAGGAGTCTAATTCTAGTTGGACAGTTCTAAAACTTAGATCCCAAGCAATTTTGAGTGCATGAAAAGCCCCCCAAAATTCAGCTTCCAAAGCGCTGCAGCAGCCCAAGTTTGCTGCAAAACCCAAAATCCATTCTCCCTTGCAGTTTCTGAAGACCCCTCCAGCTGCTGCCTTCCCAGACATTGTCGCCATTGCACCATCACTGTTAATTTTGATGGCTTCACATGGAGGAGGTTTCCAGCACCTTGGGGTTTCGGTCCATAGGTAGCTATCATTCCTTCGGGCAAATATCATGTTGGAACGGCCTATTTCTTTCATCATAGCAAGGGTTGTGCATTTTAGGGTTCTCTCTGTGATGAGTGCCTCATTAAAAACTTCATTGTTCCTGGTTCTCCATAAATTCCAGCAGGTCACAGCAAAACAGGTATTTCATTTATGATTATCCTGCAAAATAGAGGAATTTAAATTAGCAGAGATCTATGTAAGCCAATCTGATTCATACCAGAAACTTGCTCCCAGCGTAGAATTGATGCTTCGCCATAGTTCCTTACTCCTGTAGCAGTCACGAAAGATATGAAATAAATCTTCACTCCCTCCACACAGATGGCAGCTATCGTTGTCAGTGAGATGCCTTCTTTTCCTTTCGAAATTTGTTAGCAAAGCACCCCTCATTAATAGCCAAAGGAATATTCCAATTCTCTCAGGCCCTTCCCATTTCCAAACCATGTCCCAACAACTGTTTTTCAGGTCCCAAGATTCCTCCATCAACAGATTATATGCCAAAGTTGAAGTAAATTTTCCAGTATGTGTTAGTCTCCAAACGGGGCGGTCGGCTCCTACGCTGCTATGGGGGGAAGGAATGGCTCTTATTTTATCAATAATATTATATGACAGGAATGAGGTTATGACATCCCAATTCCAATTCCCTCTCTCATCAACAAACTCCACAACTTTCTTTTGTAATTCTTCCAGCGGGATGGCTGTCGTTGCAAAAAGACTGAGTGGAGGGCTAATATTGTCTACCCACATATCTTGCCAGAAATTGATCTGTCGGGCATTTCCAATAATCCATCTAATCCCAAGCATTGCTTCCGACCATACTTTCGCAATCTGTTTCCAGAAGTGAGAAGCATTTCTTGTAGGAATCTCTCTAGGAAGTGTCTCTATGGAAATATTGTACTTGGCCTTTAGAATTTTTTTTCCAGAGACTTTGTTCTCCACTGATCAGCCCCCACGCCATTTTATGACAAAGGCCACATTGAATTCTCTCATCTTCCTCAGCCCTAGGTTGCCTCTTGCTTTGGGTTGGCAAACTGCATCTCACTTAACTAGGCTCGATTTCCTTGTTCCAAGCTTGCTTCCCCATAAAAAAGTCAGTCTTACTTTGTCAAATTCATTGCTGATGGTTTTTGGCAGCAATGACGTCTGCATCAGGTAAGTTGGAATGGCAGCCAATACCGATTGGCAAAAAGTCAGCCTTCCATCTAAGGAAATACGTTGTGGGTTCCATTTAGATGCTCACTGATGAGCTTTGTTCACCCACTCCATGTAGATCTCGTTTTTTACCCGGCCATAAATCATTGGTGTGCCCAAATATTTCCCAAGGTTATTGACCCGGCGAATTCCAAACATTTGACCAAACACATCAACTGCCCTTTTGTCGATATTAGGAGAACAATAAAGGACTGTTTCACCTATGCTTACTGTTTTCCCTGAAGATTGAAAAAATCTATCTAACGTATCCTTGATAACCCTTACTTGATCCCTACTTGCTCCGGCAAAAAGTAGTAGGTCATCCGCGAACAGCAAGTGTGACAATGAGACATTTTCCATACCAAATCTCAAAGGTTTCCGGGTTCCTACTGATACTGCTAAATCAATGGCCTGAAGAGTCTCTCCATACAGAGCACAAAAAGATATGGAGATACAGGGTCATCCTGACGGATGCTTCTATTTGGTTTAAACTCTTCGCCCATAATTCCATCCCAAAGAATTTGTGTTGATCCTGTCCGAAGAGAGCTCATGATGATTTTCTGAAGTTGGGGTGGTATTTTTGCATCCTCGAGTGTTTCCTGAATAAAATCCCACCTAACTCGGTCATAAGCTTTGACTAAATCAACCTTCAGTGCCATCCATCCTCTGTTCCCCTTTGCTGTTTTCATCGAGTGGATAGCCTCCTGTGCGATCACGATGTTGTCTACGATACTCCTCCCCTAAACAAAACTGGATTGTGTAGGATTGACCAGTGTTGGCATCACTCTCCTCAGCCTATTAGCAACAACTTTGGAGATGATTTTAGCTGACACGTTGATTAGGCTTATTGGCCTAAGGTTCTGAAATCGCTCCGGATTCTTAATCTTCGGAATGAGCACCACCAAAGCCTTGTTAATACTCTCGGGAATTTCACCAGATTGAAAGACCTTCCGCACCATTTACAAACTGAAGCACCAATGATCTCCCAGTTGTGCTGATAAAAACTAGCGTTGAAACCATCCATTCCACTCGTTTTATATTTATCCATCTCAAAAATTGCTGACTTTACTTAATGGTCTTGTAACTCTGCTGCTAGCATTTGCGAATGATTTCCAGCTAAAATAGGGAACTGATTTGTCACACAATATTGGCTTCTTCCGGATGTTGTCCCAGTGTCCACTTGTTGAAAAAAACCTGGTTGCTTCTTGCTCAATGTCACAGCATCAGAACACCACGACCCATTATCTAACTGTATTGCTTTGATTCTTGTTCTCTGCCTCTCTTTCTAGTGAGGTGCGTGAAACCGCTTCGTGTTGCGATCACCCTGAATTAGCCATGTTGCCCTGGAGTTCTGAAGTCTCAACAACTCTTCTTGGGTTATGATCCTTTCATACTCCTCCCTCAAAGATTGCTCCAGTTTACGAAGATTAGTCGATTGATGAAAAGGTAATTTTTGCTGAATACCTCCAATTCTAGCTAAGAGTCTACTCTTCTTCTTGTTCAGATCCCCAAAAATATTGTACTTCCACTCGTCAAAATGCGAAGTGAGCTTGTGTAGAGCCTGGGGGAAGTCTAAATTCATATCCTAGTTCAATTGGAGCCAATCTTTCCGTCATTATGTGCCTCTCAAGCCAACAAATACTTGAAGAAGCTCTTTTCAGTGGGACGCCTCCCTTTCATTCGAAACTTAACTAGTAAGGAGAGTGGTCTGAGACCGTTCTAGGTAGATGATAAACCATAATGTTGGCGAAAAAATCCTCCCATCTATCATTAGTTACAGCTCTGTCGATTCTTTCAAAACATAAACCATTATCCCATGTGAACCTTGATCCTTGAAAGCCCAAGTCAATCATACCATTATCATTTATCCATTCTCGAAACCACTTGCATCTATGAGATTTTGGACCCCCCACTTTGTCATCCTCATGCGTGAGAGCGTTAAAATCACCGAGCACCATCCAAGGCTCGTCAATTGTACCTACAAGAATATTTAGATCATGCCATAGTGTACGTCTTGTTAGCGGTTGAGGGCTACTGTACACTGTGGTTAAGAGACAAAACACTTTATTCTGAAAACGAACTTTGGCATGAATAAAGTGCCAAATATTTTGTAAAATTTCAACTGAGACGGAATCCCGCCACAAAAGCCAAATCCCTCCAGAATGGCCTACTGCTTCTACCCTGTGTGAATGTTCTACACCTAATTCCTTTATTATTTCCAAAGTATGTATGCCATTCACATGAGTTTCAAACAATGTTAGCAAATTTAACTTATGTCGTTTAAACATGTTTTTAATTTGAGCAATCATTTTTTTATTGGAAATGCCGCGGCAGTTCCAAGCCATTATTGTGATCCATTTAAACAGATAGAAAGGAGTGAGATTACTTACCAACGTCCGGCAAGTTCTCGTCGACATCTGACCAGTGGTCACTTCCGGCCACTCCCCATTAGTCATCTGCCGAGTTGATAATCATCAAATCCTCTGTCTCTTTGTTGCCACCCAGCTGATCGGGAGGTCTATCCCCCCATTCAGGTTTGATTTTCAGCTTTGGTTTAAGATGAAATGCATGGGTCAGATCTTGTGGTTTGCCGGCAGAGGGGGATGGGGTTGCTTCATAAAGGTTTTTGACACCCAGAGATGCACTATAATTTGAGTTGTGTGCTGGGTTGGGGTGGGGAATAAGCACCGCCGAGTGATTTTCTAGAATCTCAGTCATTCAATTTTGGTCGTTGACATCGAAGGTGTTTTGATTGGGGGAGACAAATTCTATTGTTTTGTTCTGGGTTAGTGTGGGGATATTTTTTTGGCAGTTTGGGTCAGAAAAAGTGGAATTGTTGTGTGACGGGCCGGAATGGATTTGGGTGCTAGTGGTCATGTTTATCTCCAAACCTTGGGCTATTGGGTCGTTATTAGAAGCCTTCTTGACCCATGAACCTTCTCGTGCTGTTTGGTCCGATTTTATTTTTAACTGCCTTTGTAAGTGGGCTCTGGGTTCTATGATTTTTATTGGGCCTGTCTGGCTTAGTTGTTGAGGTTCCAACATTATGAGAGACATAAGAATTATCAGTAGCATTAAGACTAAGATTATTGGAACTGTTACCTTGTTGCTCCGTCACCGGTTCGTCGTTCATCTCAGCCAATGGAGCAAAGGGGTTAAAATGCTTCCGGTAATCTGGAGTTGGTTTGCTCTGTGTGTTTCCCTTTCCCAATCCGGCTGATTGATTGTTGGATAACATTCTCCTACTCCTCTTTTGGGCATAACTCCGTTCACCTAGATTGTTAGATGACTTTTAAATCTGCACCAGAATTCGGATTGCTTCTTCTCGATTGGGTTCAATTGATGGTTGGTGAGAGTTCTCAGTGTTGAGTCTGTTACTTTCGTCGGTTGATTCCTTAGGTTCGTCAGTGTTGACCGATGTTGTCTCAGGGTTAGGTGTGGGTTAGTCCGGACACTCATCAATGGTGTGACCGTATTTCCCACAATGGAAGCAGATACGTCTTAGGTCTTCGTACTCTACCGTATAAGCCTTGCCGTCAACACTCACCTTGCTGACTAGGGGCTTAGTTAGATCGAGCTCAATAACCAATCGGGCATATCGTGCTCTCTCTGCAAGAAGGGTGTTTCTGTTGGCTTTCAGGTACCTGCCAATGGGTTTCACAATCTCCCGGAGTAATGCATTGTGGAAATAGTGATCCAGTAGGCCTGAAATTCTAACCCATGCTGCCATGGCGGAAATATTATCTGCCTTAGTGTCGAAATCTATCTTCCAGGGAAGTAACATAATGTAATGATCCACAATTGACCATGGTCCATTCAATAGTGCGTTAAGATAGTCTTCCTCATGTGTAAGTCTGATTATATGGTACCCATCGATTGAATCGACCAGATGAATGTCCCCCTTAGGCTGCCATAGATTCATACATCTTTTGCGAATGGAGAAAAAACTAAAATTCCTTCCAAGAGGGTGTACCACGATGGAGTATGACATTGCCCTCTCCATTTTCTATTTGACCCGATCGGCGAAATTAATTGCCGGCATGCCGTCCTCCGTCGTGTACTGTACGTCCCTAGGTTCACTGGTGACTTCCTCTAGGTGGAAACCGGTGGATTGCTTTGCTGGTTGTCCTTGCAAAAGGGAATCCTTAAAAGATGGGGCTTGAGCAGCAGTAGGCATGCTCTCCGTTGACAAAGGAGGACCTGTTGATATATCTTTATTCTTCACTTTGGTTGTTGCCGGATTATCTTTATCATAATTTCGGCACAGGGCCCCCTGTCTCCATGGATGACAGGGGAGATGAGACTAGCCGTTAGGCTGATGTTACAGAGAGCTGTTCTTTTAAGAGATAGAAAGAGAAAGTGGAGAACAGAGATTTTCGTGAATAAGAAATCCTTCTTTTGATATGGACTAAGGGAGGTTGATAATCTCGGTTATCAGCTGTTGTAAGCTGATGCATGGAAATTTTTAGGTTCAAACACAAATGGGTCAGCCCACTAAAACCAAAAGATCAATCACAAAGGGTACTAGTGCATTAAGTAATGGGACGGGCTCAAAAGGAGGTTGTTCGATCCACCAAGATTTTTGCTCAAAATAATGGGAACAGACATCACATGCTCAATTCTCAATCGCAGTGGTCTCCTCCCCCTGTCAACTGCATTAAGCTTAATATAGATGGGGCTGTAGTGATCAATAGCAAGAAGGCTTCTGGGGGTGGTGTACTCAGAAATAGTGGTGGAGAATGGATTACTGGCTTTGCAACAAGGTTAGGCTCTTGTAATATCCTTGAAGCCGAACTGTGGGCGACTTTCCATGGCTTGACAATAGCCTGGGAATTAGGCTTTAGAAATATACAACTAGAAGTAGACTCTACTGAGGCCGTTGAGTTTTTGTTAGATGAAAACTCCTCTTTTGTAAATAGCAACGTGTTTCTGAGAGTTAAAAGCCTCTTGAACCGTAGTTGGCAAGTTTCGATTCGGCACACGCGACGCCCAAATAATGCCTTTGCAGACGCAATAGCGAAATTTTCCTTGGATTGCCCTTATGGGTGTCATATTTTGTCGACACCTCCGTCTACAATTAGGAAGTATTTAGACCTAGATAGAAGTAGCTTCTCATCACCTTCTTCTTAGGGATGCTTTTGTACCTAAGCCTATGGCTTCCTTCATATTAAAAAAAAAAAGAAAGTAATGGGACGGGCCTGATCTTAGACCTTCCAATAACATTATAACAACCGGCAACAATGGATACCTTTCAATTCAACTAACTGTTCAAGAAATAAGAAATATGATAATTACAGGCATGTTTGTTTTGTTTTTTAGTGTGTGTTATTAGATATTTTTTGTATTAGGAAAAAGGTGTATTGAAAATGTAAAAATTTATACTGAGATGGAACAGTTAATAATATATTAATTTAAAAAAAACCATCAAGAAAAACCAAACAAACAAAGCTTAAACTCTTTTAGAAAGGGTTCAACTGGAAGTGGACTCCCCGTAGGTATATGAATTTTTGACAAATGAGGACTCTTCATTTGTGGATATTCCTTTATAGATCAAAGAATTACTGAATCTCGATTGGCAACTTTTGAATAGACATAATCACATAACCTCACATTGGAAAAATGTGAAGTGAATGTCTTTACAAATTTGGTTTTTCCCATCCCGTAAAAAACAAAAAAAAACATACTTTAGTCGACACTTTCCTTTATAGTCAGAGACTTAGAGGGAGTTTAATTACATTATAGAGTATTCTCATCCCATTCTTGTAGACGTGCTTTGTTACCTCCCTACGTATACATGTATATTAAAACAAAAAAAAAAAGTACCTTTTCCCATTTGTTCCTCAAGAACTAACTCCGCACCATGTTCTCAGGAGCTGATGTGGGATTCGATATGGATGCTCTTGAATTCAATGTATTAGTTGCATTTATCGCCCTTCGGGTAACTAAGTCTGTATATTTCCTTGACTCATTCTTGTATCCGTTGTAGAAAACATCATTAATCATTACACTTTAAGTTAGGATGCTAATGTTAATTTAATTAAAGTTTGGAATCAAGCTCTTTTACTTCACCTGGAAGTAAAGACCGCATTTTCCTTTGGTTTTAGCTTTAAATCATGCCAAAATCACAGCCCAGAAATGAGGCAACTTTCAGGCTTTTTAGCTTTCTAGTTAGGTGGAGTGTCCTTGTTAATATCACAGTTCAGTGTTCAGAAATCATACTATCATTAAAAGAGCCTCAATTAGTGATCAATGAACTCATTAGATTTTGGTACTTAGTTTACTTCATTCAAACTCTTCTGTTCTGACTCCAGAGTTTGCAACACGTGGAAAATGGATACCGCAAAAAAAAAAAAAATCATTATAAAGTTGGTACTTGGAAACGGCACTTCTAAGGCCACACTCAAATGGCTGCTGCCTGCTGCTACCAGGTTACTCTTTCTTTGCTATTCATCCCCAAAAAAATAAATCTTGTTTATCAATAGTTTAACAATTAAGTCGGTACTATATATATAATCTTTCGTTAATTTTTTTTTAAGAGATCAATAGTGATATCTTGTTTCGCGTATTATAAGAATCGAACACCCTATTTTATTTATTAGAAGAAATTATTTATTAGAAGAAAGAAAGATGTTGTACCACTACTCTATAATGATTTTGTAACTGTAAAAAACTGGCACCGACTTTGAATGGTTTCTTTGATCGCAATTCGCAAATACAACGTCTACATCTAATACCAAAAATGTGGTCGTTAGAAAGTACTGCTCAATACTCAAGAATCTTATACTCCCGCCTAATTTCTCCTCATCATCAACCATATCTTTGCTTCACGATTCAGAAATCCTAAAAACAACAATATGTGCATATGTGTAAACTGCAACAAATGAGAAATAGACACAAACCGAATCTGAAATGATGATGAATCAACCACCAGTTAGGTAGTGAAAGAAAAGGCCTGATCAAAGCTTTCATATACTTCCCCTCTACACATCTCTTTCTTTTAGTTCTCGTCTCATTCTTCACCAGAAGAACCGAAAAGGGTTGCAAACGAAACTCCCAGTCTGATTTCATACAATTCAAACAAACTGATACTGTTGCACAAAGAAATGAGAGCTTTGATTATATCAGGCTGCTTGTTTTTGCTTCTCTGTTTTGCAGGTAGCTAGCTCAAATTCTTTTTTTTTTTTTTTTTTTTCTCGAACCCGAAAATTGAAATCTTCCCTTCTTTGTAATGTACTGATGTTGTTATCAATGGGTGGTTTTCTAGCTGCTTATGATCCCCTAGATCCCAATGGGAACATAACCATCAAATGGGATGTCATGGCTTGGACTGCAGATGGCTATGTGGTAAGTAGTATCACCTTTCGACACTTCATAGTTTTTTCATTTCCTTTCTCTTTGTTTCAACAACCAAAAAACCAGATGATTAATGAGTGATGTTGCAAAATATGTATTTCCAGGCTACTGTAACCGTGAACAATTTCCAAATGTACCGGCACATTATGACTCCTGGTTGGACACTTGGATGGACATGGGCAAAGAAGGAAGTAATCTGGTCTGTAGTGGGAGCACAAACAACAGAGCAAGGTGACTGCTCCAAGTTCAAAGGCAACATCCCACATTGTTGCAAGAGGGATCCAACAGTGGTGGACTTACTCCCTGGAGTTCCATATAACCAGCAATTCACAAACTGCTGCAAAGGTGGAGTCTTGGCATCCTGGGGACAAGATCCACAGTCATCAGTCTCGGCGTTCCAAATCAGTGTCGGCCTAGCTGGCACTACAAACAAGACTGTTAAACTCCCCAAGAACTTCACTTTGTTAGGTCCTGGACCGGGTTATACCTGTGGCCGTGCCAAGATCGTTCCTCCAACCAATTTTCTCAGTCCTGATCGACGCAGGAAAACACAAGCTCTCAGTAAGTCCTGTTTCAGAACTATCTGATTCCCTTTGTCCCAAGATATGTAGTGTGTGAACAGTTTGTTTTCCTCCGCAGTGACATGGAATGTGACCTGCACCTATTCACAGTTTTTAGCCAGAAAACACCCCAGTTGCTGTGTTTCTTTCTCATCTTTCTATAACGAGACAATCACTCCTTGTCCATCTTGCGCTTGTGGATGCGAAAATAAGAACAAGTGCATCAAGTAAGCATTAACATTTATATGATCCAGATGTTTTTTATCAGGTCATGGAGGAATGTTTTGACTGATTAGCTAATGCTCTGATGCAGGAGTGATTCTAAACTTCTTAGTGTAGTTGGCATAAACACTCCAAGGAAAGATCACGCCCCGTTAATGCAATGCACACACCACATGTGCCCAGTTCGTGTGCACTGGCATGTTAAGACCAACTACAAGGACTACTGGAGGGCAAAGGTAGCTATAACCAACTTTAACTACAGACTGAACTACACACAGTGGACTCTTGTTGTTCAGCACCCAAATCTCAACAATGTTACTGAAGTTTTCAGCTTCGACTACAAGCCACTTGTAGCCTTTGGATCCATCAGTAAGTACTGTAGATTAAGCCTCCTTAGAGGAAGTCAGGAGAAGATAAATGCCATTAATCTAATAATGCACTGAATGTATGATGCAGATGACACGGGGATGTTTTATGGAATGAAGTTCTTCAATGATATGCTCATGGAAGCTGGACCATTTGGAAACGTCCAATCTGAGATACTTCTTCAGAAGGACAAAAACACATTTACATTAAAGCAAGGATGGGCATTTCCTAGGAAAGTATACTTCAACGGGGATGAGTGCATGCTACCCCCACCAGAGGCATATCCTTTTCTGCCCAATTCTGCAGATCAAAACCTTGTTCGTGTTTCCACGTGGTTATGTTCAATCATCTTTCTTCTACTTGTATGGATTCAGTGATCATTTTCTCCTTTTCATACCGTAAGTTTTCAAGCGGAGCGCATTACTGCAGAAATTTTGAAACAACAGGTACATTCTAAAATTTTGGCAAGGAAAAGAACTGTCTACTCTGGTCCTCATGATGAATGCTCAAGTCCTGACAATTTCTTGCAATGAAACGTACAAATCACCGTTGTAATTATCGAACATTTTTTGTCTATACCGCTTTATTAGAAACAGCAGAATCAAACAGAACTGATACATTAGAAAACAAAACTTATATGAAATGAATGTACTACAAGTGTATGTTCTTGGTATTTTTCTATTTTGTTTGCTCTATTATGTAAAGGAACAAAAAGAAAAAATTGTCTACGGATGAGAACATAAAGCTGAATATACAAGTTAATCAGCTCACGATCACCCTTAAGTTTTTACTACTCTTGAAAAAGATATTATTTTTATCATAAATCTAATGACACTAAGAATTCAAAATCTATAAACACAACATATTGGTACAACAACAAACTGTCTTGCAACTGTCACCAAGGAGGAGGTTCATAGAGGATTCACCAACCTTGGCAAAAAGAAGACAGAGATGGTTGTCCCATTTCTGCACTTCAGCTATATGCACTCGAAGAATCATTGTCAATGTGCCAACTGGTTTCTTAGCTTTTGGCTAGCAGCTGCTCGGATAACTTTCTTAAAGACAGTATTCCTCCCATTGTGGTTCAGTCTCACAGACATCCGAAGAAGAATGCAATGGTTGACAAAAGAGTGCCCACTAAAATAGCAGCTGAGATACCGTGCCTGGAACTGGCATTGGGTAAATATGGATATGAATCAGGAGGTGGCATAACACAGTTATCACCATTGAAGTAGATCCTTCGAGGGAAAGCCCATCCCTTATCAAAAGTGAAAGTGTTTTTATCTTTCCTAAAGAGCAGCTCTGATTGAACATTTCCATATTGACCAGCTTGCTCAAGGAAATCATTGTAGAATTTAACTCCCCAAAGCATGGCAGTATCATCTGTTCAAGAACCAAAAAAAGAGAGCAAAATTTGCAGATATAGATCAGTATTTGTACATTTTCATAAGGAACTACAACTAAAGGGAAATCGAATTGCTGAGATTAAATTCCCTAAACAGAACACAAATTCAACTTGGAACGTAGAAGAATAAGAGTATACTTACTTATAGCTTCATAAGGAGTCAGAGATTTGTAGTTAAAGCTGAATATTTGAGTCAGGTTGTCAAAGTTGGGGTGTTGAACCACTAAGTTCCATTGGGAGTAGTTCATTCTGTAATTGAAATTCGTTATTGTGACCTTAACACGCCAGTACTCTTTGTAGTTGAGTTTTACGTGCCAATGAACTCGTATAGGACACATATGACTTGTGCATTGGACAAGAGGTGCAAGGTTAGTGGTCTTCCCATTGGCCGGAACAACAGATGCTAGATGTGGCGCATTATTAGGGCTGAAATACCGATGGTGAAACAAATGAATACTTCAGAGGCTTGAAAATTTTAAATCACAGAAGAGTAGAGTGCTAAAATCAGAGAGAAAGCACATACTCTACACAGCTCCCTGGATGAGAAGTATTTTGGCAGCCACATGTGCAGGTTGGACAAGGGACAATAGTATCATTGTAGAAGGAAGAGAGTGAAACACAGCAACTCGGAGTTTTCTGAGCCAAGAACTGAGAATATGTACATGTAACGTTCCATGTCACTGCAGAGTAACAGTTTAATTTAGAATCAACTCAAGTTTCCAAATTGAGCCGGAAAACACAGAAACAAATGATTTATAAATTAAAGCATTTCTATATCAGTGTCTCTATTTCTAAAAGAAATTAAAATTTGCATTAGATATAATTAATGAGTACATCAGAAATTTGGATTTGTCCCAGGTTGTCTTTACTTTAAAAAGTATCAAACCGAGCGAGAAGAACTTACTCATAGCTTGTGTTGTCCTCCTTCCATCTTGGGTAAAGAATTTGGTAGCTTTAACAATTTTAGCAGGTCCACAAGTATATCCTGGTCCTGGTGCTAACAAGGTAAAGTTTCTTGGCACCCTAACAGTCTTGTTGGTGGTTCCTGCAGCACCAACACTAACTTGGAATGAACTTGCAGCATTGGATGGGTCCTGTACAAATGAATTTATCACCCCTCCCTTGCAGCAATTGGCAATTTGCTGATTATAAGGCGTCCCCGGCAACAAGTCAACCACAGTTGGAGTTTTCTTGCAACAATGTGGTACGTTGCCTTTATATCTTGAACAATCTCCTTGCTCAGTTGTTTGAGCTCCCACCATGCTCCATATAACCTCTTTCTTGGCCCATGACCATCCCAAAGTCCAGCCTGGTGCTTGAATATGGCGATATTGTTGGAAGTTGAAAAGCGTGACAACAGCCTGGCCAATTTAGTATAACAATCCATCACCATAATGAACCACAAATAATCTAATCAAGTAATGACTTTGTACCCCCCAAATGTTTTCGGGTATGTTCTGCAGTTTATGCCTCGTTCTCATTAAGTTGTATAGCAATCAGGGAGATCGGTATGACTTACCACATAGCCATCAGGGGTCCAACTTATAACATCCCATTTGATGGTGATGTTTCCATTTGGATCAAGTGGATCATAAGCTTCTGAAAAAGGATAGGCAAAAGAGAGAGGACAATAGATTAACCCAAAGATCAATCCATCTTATGATTTTTATTTTCCAAAAAGGAACAATAGAAAATAGGCAGACGCATAATTGCGAAATTATCTCATGAGATAAGTAAAATACAGGGAATAAGTTAAAGAGACAGCCTGATCCAAGTGGTATCTAATTATCTCATGACTCTCCCCAATAAAAGGCTGATTAGTTTGGATAAATCCCGCGAATATCTACTCTAAATGAATCCCGATCACCATACCAAATGAATTTGTCAAGCCGATGAACGACGTTATTATATCCGACGTTCTAGAGATCAAGTATCAATCAACTAGCAATTTTCGCTATTGAGTAAAAGAATTACAAGTATTCCACTGCAGGAGTTTCACATACATCCAACCCAATCATAAAACTTGGAGAATCTTCTGGACAGTTGCTTAAGAACAAAAAACAGGCAAGTCAATTGACATTGAATTTCAAAGAGCACTGAGCAAAACCATTAACAAGCTAACGTCATTTGACGAAGCAGGTAGGTAAGAACAATTAGTATGAATCTAATTTAGTAAAATCACCGACAACCCAACTGAACCTGCACAACAAGTGCTCAGAATCGGTAAAGATCTGAACTTGATTATCAAACCAATAAAAACAATTTCACACTCTGAAACATGCATCTTGCATCAAAAACCAATCTTTCCACAAAAATTGGCGAAATTCCACAACAAGCACTGCAAGAAACAATCCAGAACTCCCCCAAATCGATGAAAATCAAACATAATTAAGATGATAATGGACCCACCTGTAGTAGTAAAACTGAAGCAGGAAAGAGAAAGCAGCACCGCAATGCAACATACTGTGATTTTAGGCAGAGATCTGTAACAGAAAGAACCCATTTTTTTTGGGTTTCAGTTGTGGGTTCTCTTGATCGGTCACAGCTCAAGATCTGCTACTACTGAAAGCTGAAGAATGAAAAACTGATGGTGAGATAAAAGATAGAAAAAAAGGGGGGTGCGTGAGAGAGAGAGGGAGAAGTCGGTGGTGAGCTGGGAAAAGATTTGGCAATGCTCTGCAAGAGAGCTTAGCTCACATGGCAAGCTAGCAAAGTTGAAGTAGAAGGTTCACTGGACCTTTTTATTATTACTAAAGAAATGAGAAATCTTCTCTGGAAAAACCAATAACCACAAAGTGTAAAAAACAAACAATTTGTTTTTTCTTTGCTGCTGAATTTTGAGTGTGTTTAGTTGGTGCTCATGAGGCAATGATTATGACAGGGATAACTATTTTACTACTACAGTTGCTTTCACCTCCTTGGTAAAGTGAAGACCAATAGAACAGTTAAGGTTCCCATAGAAACAAAAGATAATGATAATTGTTAGTATATTTTCTTTCTTAAATGTTTTTATATTAAAGATATTTCGGAAAGTCATTTAAATTTATTCAAGTTAAGTAGGATGATCGATCGAAAAACTGTCATTTAATTGCTGATCATTTTACCTATTACAATATCTAAACAAACATTTTTATTATTTCTTACGTCCCAAAATTATTGTCCAGTTTAATTTTTAGTACAAAGCATAGATTCGGTGAATTCACATCATTCAACAGCTCAATATTGAGGTTGAAGAAGTTAATAGTTAGAATAATACTAATAGGTAATTTTTGTTTCAACTTGGAAAATCACATTTTGTTTATTTTCGGAAAGAATAGTTGTTAGTTTTGATTATTTTAGTGATATCTGTCTGTCTGCATCCAATTAATGCTCTCTTTCTTTGAGTTTATACTAACCTCAATTTCTCTGCCGACGCTAATAAGAGTAAAGTTTTTCTAATAATTTAAATATATGTCTGATTATTGACCACTTATTCATTTAATTAAATAGTACTGTATGAAAAAAAAAGTTAATCAACACAACTGTCGGTGGCTGCAAATAAAGCCTTTTAAGAAACAAAGGAAAGAAAATTAAGCCGGCGGGACCCCACGTTTCCTTTGATTTTCCAACTTTTTAAATTTACATCACAATGAGATTATTGCCTCATTTTTCGTTTGTCAACATCTATGTTCTACAACCTGTTGCATCATCCCTCCATTTTCCATTTTTATTTTTCTCCCAATTGAAATGGCTATTTTAAATCATCTCGAATATATTATTTTTGTGGGTTCTTTTTTTTTTTGGGTCCGATCTAAGGAAATAGTAAAAATTTTAAAAAAGAAAAGGAGAGGGAAAAATGCAAGATTAATGGTTCGGTCATCAAAATATAGTTATGGGAAGTGACATTCTTGATACCAAAATTGGTAACCACCTACTCGAGATAATACTCCCTCCATCCACAAATAGACGTTACTGGAGAGATTTCACAAAATTTAAGTAGGCAATAATTATCTTGTTAAAATATATAATAGTCTCATTTATTCTTACTTCAATTGTAGTCCCAATAATATTCAGTTCTAATACAATTCTACATTAAACATCATTACAATTTCCAATATAAAGGTAATATTAAAAAATTTGATAAAATATGACTCGATCTGTGAAAACGACATTTATTTTAGAATATTTGATTTTTACTCTAACGACATCTGTTGATGAATGGGGGGAGTAATATTTAACATTTGGGTTTTGGGTTGGTATTAACTTTTTGTTAATTGGGAATTGGGATTATTGAACCTTCTTCGTTTCTTTGTTTGATCCCCAGTGGTCTGGAGGACACTGCAAATCCAGCTCACTGCCATCACGTGTATGTTTGTCTCTCAAATTTAATCATCCAAAAAGAGTAACAAAAACTTTGTTAAAAGTCATTTTATTTGGAATACCTTTCACTGTGGATTATGTTTTTCTCTTTTGTTTGGGAACATACGCAATCCAATTGAATCTATAATAAAGCAAAAAAAAAAAAAAACTATAATTTGTTAGATATTGTATATTCTAATTTCAAAATGTGCCTTGTTTGTTTGTCAACTCATTTTATATTTTCACTCATTTTACCTCTTAAACACAAAACCTAATAGAAAAGAAAACATCATCCAAACAACTTTCTGGTTTATATTTTAAATTCCAACTTGAAACACTCTTTGTTAGTATAATGACCATTTTAGAACTACAAATAGTTCAGTGACAAATTTGGCTAGATTCCGTTGTTGAGTGATTGTTTTTGGAAAAATTCTTTTTTGCAGTGACTATAATTGATAGTATTTAATTGTTTAGTAATGACTTGTACTTGATATTTCAAAATGTAGTTCAAAATACTTTTTTTCAAAACCAGCATCCAAACAACATTTTTATTTCTCATTTGGTTTTCAATTTGAAACACTTTCACTTTTAAGTGACAAAATGAAAACGTAAGTTGACGCCCAAACAAGCACTCTTTTAGGAAATGTGAATATTAGTCAAAATGTAAGTTCTTTGTAATTTCAAGTTTCAACCCAATAATAGTTATTTACTTTTTAATTTTACCATTATTAATAGGGAAAATAATATGTGTAGTGAAAAGTTATAGTGAAAAGAAATAGTGACTGATGTGTATTCCCTATTTTGTTAACACTTCGCCGTTAAAATTTTATCTTTCCTCTTAAAATTAGTCTTTTACCCTTAATTATTATGTACACATCAGTCACTAAATCATTTTCACTATCTCTATCATTGCTCCATTAATAGTCCCTAACTATTTTCAATTAGTATATCCTGCAATCCCCCAAAAAGCTTTAAAAGGTTTTGCTATTTTCTGCACACATCTTCCAACTATAATAAAGTATTTTTAAAATTTTATTTTCAATAAAAAAACATGATAAATGAAATCTAAGAAAAATTAAAATGTTTTATATTATAATAAGAATCGGAGTATTTATTTAAATGCACCAAAATTTTAATGACATGTTTGGTACTAACTTTTTAGCTTTGTACCTGATACGTCCATCATCTGTCTTGTGAGTAGATATGCACAATTTTATTCTTTGTAGTTAATACTTAATACTACAATTTTGTACTTCATCGATCAAAATTTGTAATATTGTTCCTGTCCATTCTAAACGATTTTTTTGATCTTCTCTATAGAAAAGTTTCATCTTGATTTTTTCAAAAGAAAAAAAAAAAAACAAAACGAAACAGAAGACGTAACTCTTGTGTCCTAAAACATTAAATTAGGGACACAAAGACATTGAACATAAACAATTAATTTGTTTAAAATTTTGAAATGATTTATACTTTAAAATGGAAGGAATACCAGTACTAAAATTGTTTATCATTGAACCAGGAAAATACATTATTTTTTATGATGAAAGGCAATATGCATAAAATTAAACATTATGAGATAAAAGCTATTTTTATTACATTACAGTTCAAAATCAATGTTTTAACTTTATTAAACTGAAAATTCCCCACCCCTCACGCGATCGCTCCACAATCCCGTTAGAGCCTTCTATGTCTCTGAGAATATGCACAGGTAACCTTCCATGTCACTGCAGAACAAATAGTTCCAATTAGAAACAGGCCAGTTCCTTAAAAACTAGTGTCGACATTGAGCCCGAAAGCACATCAACAAATGACTATAAATCAATGCAATTATTTTCCATTAGTATCTATGTCCAATTGCTTCGAACCAAGAAAGGAAACAAAAATTTGTTAATGAGTACATTATGAATTTAGATTTCTCCCAAGTGGTTTACTGTTTGAAATTAGTACTCCTTACGTCTCAAAATGATTATCTAATTTGGATTTTTTATTTTTAATACAGTTTGTAATTCCTAAAAATAAAAAAAAAATCTAACGGGGACAATTATTTCGGAACTAGAGAATATAAAAAGGGGTGCTAAGAAGTAAGAACTTACTCAAAGCTCGGGTTGTCCTCCTTCCATCTGGGGTGATGAATAGAGTAGGTTTAACAAGTTTAGCAAATCCACAAGTGTATCCTGGTCCTGGTGCTAACAATGTGAAGTTCACCGGCAACTTAACTGTCCTGTTGGTGTTTCCTGCAGCACCAACACTAATTTGAAATGAACTCACATCATTTGGAGCTACCACTCCTCCCTTGCAACAATTTGCTATTTGCTGATTGTAAGGCGTCCCCGGCAACCGATCAACCACAGTTGGAGTTTTCTTACAAGAATGTGGAATGTTGCCTTTATATCTCGAACAATCTCCTTGCTCAGTTGTTTGAGCTCCCACCATGCTCCATATCACCTCTTTCCTGGCCCATGACCACCCCAAAGTCCATCCCGGTGCTCGAATGGGACGATGTTTTTGGAAGTTGTAAAGTGTGACAACCGCCTGACCGATTTATTAGTTTTACAATTGTTGTGTTTAATTAGCACAATGATTTAATCATAAGAAACATATTCAAGTTACAAACTTAGTACCCTCCCCTTGTTAACGCGATGTGCTCAAATCGAAAAGTTATATAGCAATCAGGGAGATCAGTATTTACTTACAACATAGCCATCAGGGGTCCAACTTATGACGTCCCATTTGATTGTGATGTTTCCATTTGGATCAACAGCATCATAAGCTTCTGAGAAAAAGGAAGGATAGATCAATCCATATAGTAAATTTTGTTCAAAAAAAAATAAAAGAAAGACAAACTGTCAGATGCTATGGCTGGCTAGCATTTTTCTCTATAATTAGTAATATAAATCCCCCTAAAATCCTTTAGAGGTGATGCACAAATTCAATATTAAGGGGAATGACTCTGATTTAGCAAAACAAGTGCAACAACAGGTAAAGATCTGAACTTGATTATCAATATACACTAGTTATAATAAACCCATTCAACAATCGCTTCTATGACTCTGAAGCATGCATTTTTTACATCAAAAGGCAATCTTTTCTCGCAATTGGCAAAATCCCTCAAGAACCCAACCAAAACTCACCCAATTCGAAAAACATCAAACATAATTAAAATGAAAATGCACCAACCTGTAGTAGTAAAACTGAAGCAGGAAAGAAACAGTAGCACTGCAATGCAACATATTGTGACTTTAGGCAGAGATCTGGTACTGGAAGAACCCATTTTTGGGGGGAGTTTTCGGTAGCGGATTGCTCTTGATCGATCACAGCTCAAGGTCAAGCCACTGAAAGCTGTAGAATGAGTAAGTGATGATGGTGTGAGATAAAAAAGAAAGAAAAATGGGTGTGAGAGGGAAGGCGATACAGAGTAGTAGTCAAAGTTAAATGACAGTCGAAGATTTTGACTTTTTGAGTTGATCGTTGGAAATTCAGCTCCACAACAAATAATTATATTAGGGTCCAAGTGATAAAAGTATTAGCCTAATATAACTTTAACGTTTAGTTCAAATCTAGACATAGACATAAGTTCGATGAAATTTATTTGAAAGAAATCTATCTAGTTCAAATCCAAATTAACTAGCTCTAAATCAATGGCTTCGATGTACACACAAGTGCAGTATAATTTACTATACATTATCAAAGAAAAATAATTAGAACCCGATGATAATAACTTTGTTACAGCTTAATTTCGATGAGTTATATGATAGTACTATCTATCTGTGTGTATCAAATGAATGAATAAATGCTCATTTCTTATGGTCCTCTTTCGTTTATTGTCATCGGTCAACCCCTATGTGCATGTAACCGCGTTCCATGGGTTCAATAATTTCCTGACAATTTCCCATGCCCCTTTACACCCTTGATGCTGCTTTTATTTACACTCTCCCGTCTCCATCGGAAAATAGTCGTCTTTAGATAATTGTTACTACTATTTAATTATTGCATGTAAAATTTTAAATTATTCTTAATGTTATTATATGCCGTTAAAACCAACGTGTCTTTAATATGTTTTTTTTTTCTTCTTCATATGAAATTAACATTGACGAAATTATACGTACTTTGAATTTTTTTAATTTCTTTCAACGTTAATTATTTCCAAATTATTATGGGGTTTCTCCTTTCTTCAACTTCTTATTCGAATTCTTGGATATTCTATTGTTTGTTTGATTCTGGTGGTATGGAGGACAGTGCAACTCCAGCTCGCTGCCATCACCTCTACGTTCGTCTCTCATATTAATCATCCAAAAAAAAGTCGCAATAAAAACTTGGTTAAAGCTTAAAAGAGATACTTACTCCGTCCTCAAAATTATTGTCCAGTTTGAGATTTCACTTTTAGTACAATTTGAATTAAAAAAAAAAACCTACACTAGACAATAATTATGGGACGGAAGGAGTAGATTAGTTGCCCCTTTGACCGTGGGTTATGACTTTGCTGCTTTATTAGGGTAGAAATGTTTCTTCTTTTGTTTTAGCACACATCCACCAACTGACAATTTTGTTGCATTTGTTTTTTTGGGGGGGTATACAAACAACGTAACATTCTAAACGGGTACATAACATATTCACAACAAAATTCATTCAAATCAACTGACATGTGACTCCAATCTTTTGTTGTGAACACTTTTTTTTTTGTATTGATTAAGTGTCCCACATATAAATTCCACTTTCCAAAACTACTATTTAGAGTATTGACATGAATTAATGATGTGATACTAGTACTTGCACAACAATGAGAGCAAATTGTTACGGTACCCCAAAAAAAAAAAGTAAAAAAGATTGTAGAGGTGGAGGCAAGAAAAAGAAAACACCCAACCTGCTCTTTTTTTTTTTGGGGGCCAAAATTTCGTTACATGAGTTTGGGCCAAATGTCATGAGAGAACAATTTTGGTAAATCCATTTCTTAACTCGCCCAAAGGCCGAAGGTCAGACGACTTCTCAAAAGTTGGACCGTCACCTCAGTCACTCATCTGACCTCTCTATTTCACACTTTTCACCCATTAAAAAAACAGAAGAAGCAACAAAGTGGTTCTGGTGGAGTAGAAGGGACTCATCAACCCTTAATCATAGGTCGAGGGTTCAAACTTCACTATAAGCATGGAGTAATTTTAAATATTTAAATATTTTTACCAGATGTTTAAATATTTTTGCCAGATGTGCTTGTAATTCAGCGCGAAGGGAATTAGCCATTACAGCGCGAGGGGGATTAGTCACTGTTGCCGACGGTAGACACTCTGCAAATATGCTAAAAAAATGAAGCTATTTTTGGATAGATTATTTTATGAGAAATTATGGAAACTACATTGAGATTTTGTTTATGGATTTAATCAATTGTTTGGATACAATAATGAAATCATCACTGTGCTCAATATACAAGAAGTTTCTCTCATTGTCCTCTTTTAACATATCATAACTAATTATAATTTTAAAAATGAAATGGGTAAATTTACATTTATTGTAACATTCTACAAATTATAAGAGGTAATCGCTCTCAACCATTCTTAACTGGCAAATTTGTTGGGAAATTGAGAATGCATTATATTATTATTATTATTATTATTTATTTATTTATTTATTTTTTTGAAGTATGAGAATGTATGTTAAAATAGAAAATCAAAACTCCATATCACATCCTACTATATTAGAAACAAAAACCCCCCTTTCAAACACCTCATATGATTGTCACGTGGCATGTAGAAAATACTAAATTGCCCTTTTGTCTAACCATAACTAAATTACTAAATCTCCCTTTGCACTTTACGTGACAATTTTTTCTTTATGTTTCATTCAACTAGAGTGGTTTTTTAAATTGAATTGATCAATTAGGTTTTTTGTTACAAAGTGTCAATTTTGTTTTAAGCGTATACCCTTCGGATGAAGCTTATTACAAAGCTATTAAAAATCTCCAAAACTAAGTATTGATTTGGCACGACCAATGGAGAACGTCAATAAATCATCTTACTAATATTTAAATTTATTAGGATGCTTTTATATTTTATCTAACATTTACTTTAACACATATATTCGATTAAACTATTTATATTTAATAAGTAACACTTATAAAACATTTCTAAAACATACATGGCGAAATACAATTTTTTTTTTTTTTGCGAAATACAAATATTTCTATGATCACACTTATAAAACATTTCTAAATCCTTCAAACATTTCTAAAATATATCGCTCCAAATACAAAATTTTATTTTTTTCAAATATAAACATTTCTAAGATCTACAGATAGACTAGGCCAGGGTCGCGCATTGCGCGACCAGACATCACTAGTATAAAGAGAACAATAGATTTATCATTGAAACACAAACTCATTCGTAAATAAGGAAAAACCAAAACAATGTTTAGTGGATAAATATCAAATTAAGATTAAATTTATTAACGAAAAATGATTATATAAAAGATTAAGCTGGTGAATTACATTCGTAATTTTCTTTTTCCCGAAGAAATTATTGAGGGAAAAAAGAAATATTTGCATTCCCCAAAGCCGCCACCACCACCGGTTTTTCTTTCTGGGCCGAAGTCTTAACCGTCAAAGCAACGAACGGCTTTCACTTTTCACACAGAAAACTTTTTCCAAAAGCATTCTTCAAATCAGAATGGTCTCCGCAGAGGAACCATTCTTTGATTTTTCCAGAATTACTGCAATTTATTGATTCTCTCCTTTTCCACATGCTTTTCCATCTTCCCAATCAATTTCTCTAATTTTGATTACTCTACTCGCTGTTATTGACAGAATTTCTTTTACAAATTCGGTTCGCTTTATCGGACCAGCAAATATCCACCGATTACTATTCATTTCGTCAGAAATTTTTAGGGTTTTTTGGAACTTTTTTTTTTGGGGGGGGGGGGGAATTATTTTAGCCTAAACTTTCCACGAGTTCTTGAAATGGACGCAGCTCAGTCTCATCGAGCATCGTTAGGTCAAACGGAGATTAATTGGGACAAGTAAGCCCCCCTCCGATGATCTGCTTTTCCTTAGCCTTTTTTTTTTTAATATTTTAAATTCCAGATAATCATTAATTGAATTGCCTTTGTTTAGCTTCGCAAGTAATGCATATTAATTACTAGTTGTTTTTTTGATTAATTGTACGCTTCTTGATTCTTACCATTTTAATTTGTGGTCATTATTTCTATTCATAGGACACGCCTTTTTTCCTCTCGAATTTTACTGTTGCTTTCAAGATTGTTTTTAGTCAGAATTGGGAAAATGGTGTTATGTTGTTACTCTTAACCTGATTTTGCTAATAAACTGAATGGACAGTAGAGATATATGTGAGACATAATCCTTCGGTAGTGTTGATGATTGTTGAACTGAAATCAATCAATTTGGTTTTCTGGGGAGATGACTGATTTTAACAGTGGCTTCCTAAATTCTGTCTTGTAGGCTTGACAAAAGTAAGTTCTATGTTGTTGGGGCTGGGATCTTTACCGGTCTCACTGTTGGACTTTACCCTATCTCCGTTGTGAAGACTAGGATGCAGGTCGCAACCAAAGATACTTTAGAGAAGGACGTGTTTTCCGTCATCAGGGGGATATTGAGAACAGATGGCGTTCCTGGGTTGTATAGAGGTTTCGGTACAGTCATTACGGGGGCGATTCCTGCTAGGGTTATATTTCTCACGGCATTAGAGACTACAAAAGTGGCTGCCTACAAAATGGTTGAACCCTTTAAATTCTCGGAGCCTACACAGGCTGCTATTGCAAATGGGATCGCTGGAATGTCTGCATCTCTCTGTTCACAGGCTGTCTTTGTTCCAATTGATGTGGTATGTCTTCATTCTATCTTTTTTAGTGACTAGGATTTTAAGTATATGTTGGTGAGCCTGAGTTATAGTTATCTATTTCATTCTCTTACAAAATAAGAGCATTTTGTTGATATTTGCAAGATTTTGGTCTGGTCTTGAAACTTTCAAGCATTGTGTGTAGGTTATTATCTGCCAAACTAGGACACTGAATTTTTTTATGCCTTCTCTCCCTTTACAATTTTGAGCTATGAAGCTTCTTTTTATGTCCTATCAATTGGAAAATGTTTTTTTTTTCTCCCCTGATGTTTTTGAAACTGATTTGAAAAGGTTAGCCAAAAGCTGATGGTCCAAGGATATTCAGGCCATGCTAGTTACAATGGTGGGCTGGATGTTGTGCGTAAAGTTGTTAAAGCAGATGGAATTCGAGGATTGTACAGAGGATTTGGTCTGTCTGTTATGACTTATTCTCCATCTAGTGCTGTTTGGTGGGCTAGCTATGGATCTAGTCAAAGGTTGATTTGGAGGTAAGTCTTTTGTGCTTGGTTTAATTGTTGCCTCTTTCGGTTGAGTCTTGATTGCACTTCTACTTCGTGGAGTACTTCACTAGTTCACTGTTTCTGGTGATATAATAACAGATGTATGTGGCTTGATGTTTGTTCTGAAATTATAGTTTCTGTCTGTTGATTGCTGTGGACTATGTTGATTCTTCTGACAGGCTTTTAGGTGAAGGCAGTGCAAATGATGGATTTGCTCCTAGTCAGGGACAAGTAGTGTTGGTGCAAGCTGCCGGGGGAATTTTTGCTGGTGCCACTGCATCCTGCATTACAACCCCATTGGACACTATCAAAACTCGATTACAGGCATGCAGCTCTATCATTAATTCTTAGTATGCATTGTTAGTGTCCACTTTCTTAATGCCAGATATGTCTTGGGTTGAGTTTCCTCTCTAACTAGTAGTGGTAATGTAGTTTTCTGTACTAAACAGCAATTCTCTTAAGACAAATTCAATAACTGTCTATGTGAGTATAACATGTGTGACTTCAATTAAGGTTCTCTCTCATGGTGTGAGATTCTCAAAGTTCTTGCTTTTGTCTGATCTTGCTTTTGTGCACCACTATTCAGGTAATGGGGCATGACAAGAGACCAAGTGCCAGGCAAGTGGTGAGAAAATTGATTGCAGAGGATGGTTGGACTGGGTTTTACAGAGGACTTGGTCCAAGATTTTTCAGCATGTCAGCCTGGGGAACTTCAATGATATTAGCCTACGAATATTTGAGTATGATTTCTCCTTATTCCTGGCTGTTTTTGTCAGATGACAGTATTCGATTATTCGCCTATGCTTTTCATGTTATGCATTTTTGCTCTTGCATTATTTTCCATTTTTAAATGATTAGTGGCATTTAGCTGATAGTGAGAAATTATACTCCTGGAATTTAGGCCGTTTGTGTTAATTATAGGTGATACTGTTTAGATACCTGTCGATCAGTTTTTTCATTGCAAGTGTTTGTTAGGCAGTTTTGATCTGTAGAAAGTGAAGCAATATAATTTACTGATTTACCTTAAAAACTCATATACCTTTTGTGATCCACCCTCTTCTCCTCTTTAGAGGGCCAAGTTAAGACTTTAGAATTGGGATATTAGGTTCACATTTTAAATACTTTTTGTACAAGTATAGTTGGTGCCAATTGTGATTGATGACTTCATTTGTGTTTGTTTGACAGAGAGGTTATGCGCTAAAGATGAATAGCTTCATTCAGAAATGATTCGCTCCTCAGTTGCTGGTTTCTAGGGTAGAAGATTGTAGGTCTTTATTTGACTTCTTTCAAGATATAGACAGAGGAAGTGCTGCTTGTTTTGGAGTTTTAAATGCAAAAGGAATGCTAATACGTGTAAAAATCCACGTTGTGCAGCTGATGACCTTTGCTGTTGATCTGAGTAGTTGCCAGTTTACATCCTCAATTATTCTATACCATCCTCAAGTATACATATAGAATTCGAATGCAATTGCAAACTCAGTAAATTCTTTTGGCAGAGTTGTCTACTCGCCATGATTAGTCATGATATATGTATGTACCTTACAAGAATTCCTTTATTCTTATTAGATGGAAAGAATTTTGTTTTTTTTGGTATCATTGGGTGTTGTTGATTTCATATTTTGGTTGGTTATATTGTTCTCATCATTTTGAGGGTACTGTAAGCTGGCAAAGCGCGACGTTGATGAAATCAAAATTTTTGTGTCCGTCCATTTTCTTTCTGTAATTCTTTTCTCGGGTATGATCTGAATGATCAACAATAGTGTGAACCGTGTGCTTAGTGCCGTAGCCATCTGAATTTGGTTTACCTTCTGAATTCGGTCTACATTATCAATTGCTTTCTCTAAATCATGCTGTCCGTCCTGACTCCTGAGTTAATAACCACATTCTGAATTATCTAGGTGTTTTTTGTTCTTGGCACAATGAATCATAGTCTGACGATTAGGAACAATTATGAAACCAAGTACATTTAGCCGATAGGTGCATTCAATTAGAGTCAGTTCTCCTGAGATCTCATAAAATGACCAGTTATTCAACAATATAGAAAAAGCCTCAACAGAAATTACATTAGAATGAAGACAGTAAGGAGTATTGTGCTAATAAGAAGTCGAAAATAACAAGACGACAAACATGAAAGAAATCAAACACTTGAGAAAGTACAGATGATTAGATAAACTGGTGTAGAAGATCTCTGTTCAAACTTGAAGACGATCACAATATGAACATATGAATTCACTGGTTAAAGGTTAACCACCAACAGCACGCTTGCAACGATTGTAGTCGGCACATGGCCTGCCGCCACCGCCCGGAACTATGCAATCCGAGTACTTAGCGGTAGGGCAAGCTGGCTGGTTCCGGTTTTGAGTCACCCCGTACGAAATGGTTCGTGCAGCTTGGAGGAGCCACCTACTACCGGCAGCATAATGCCTGAGCAACTCCCCGCCGTCAAAATCATCCAGGTTGCCGCCGGAAAAGCATCCCCCAACCGTCCCATTGCAGAGGAAGGTTCCGTTTTGAACAAGTATTGAATCAGCTGAAGCTCCCCTGATTCCCACCAGAAAGCTGATGAACAGAATGAGTAAAAATAGAAAACTGGTTCTTCGCTCCAATAGTCCCATAGCTATCCCTTTTCAACGATTCTAGTAATCGATGTAGGGTGTTGATATAGCAAGGAATAGAGCTATATAGAAAGGGCGTACATCATTGGATTATCAAATGCATTAAAAAACATTGAACTTTTCAGCCATTTCACCAAAGTCTACAGCCAACCACTTTTTAAGCTAAACAATGTATCCAATTGCCGACAACGACCGAGATACTCCGTATAAATCAAATTCTGGAAATCATTTGTTTTTGGGGTCTTGTCACTATCGATCCTTTGATTAGATCAATCCTATTTTCTTTTCCAACTTGTTTAATTTTTTTTTTATTTTTTTGGACTTGGTTGATGATTCGTGGAAGAGGGGGTTTTGTGCATTTTACAGTCATCCATTATTGACGTATGAATTCAATTATTTGACATTTGTCTACTACGAATTGGTCTGATTCTTCATCACTGATGTTTGGTAGACATTTTATTTAAATCATTCCCAATCTCTACTAACTCTCGGCCAGTTGCACGAAAACTATAATGTAAAATACCCCAAGTCTACTACGAATTGGGTGGTTGACTTGTTGAGGATGCATTCATTTGCAAGCACAACAGATTTAAAACCATACTAAACCTTTGGTAAAATTACCTTCTTTATTAGTAGTATTATTCTCCTTGAACGATCATCATCATCTTGACAAGTTGGCAGTAGGTGTGAGACGAATGAGTCATCGGGTTAACGGCAGCTATATATACACGAGCCTTCAGAGCTGAAGGAAGTCAGGTCTTGACTTTACCACGACATCATTAGTAGGATAATTATTTACGTTAACATTTGTAATATCTTGTATGGAAAAAAAAAAGAAAAAGAAGAAGAAGAAGAATAAGAAGAAAGAACAAAGAGAAGTATTTAAGTATTGGCTTACTATTACTCCCTCAGTCCCATAACTATTTTCTACTATGGATTTTCATTTTCAGTTCAAATTGTACTAGAACTGAAAATACAAACTGGACAATAATTTTAAGATAAATTGAATATTACTTTCTGTTCTGGGCCGATGAATTTTAGCGATGAAGGGAAATTTATGAAAGCTATTATTTTTAGTCTACATTACATATATCTCATAAAACGATACAATTATTCAATGTACAGCAAGCCTCGAGGACACCAACAGAACTTACATATATATGAAGGCACGAGATTGAACTATCGGTACAGAAACATCATAGATTATGCGACTATAAGAAGTCGAAAATGACAAATAAAAACATGAAAGCAATCAAACACCTGAGACTGAGAAAATAGTAGTAGTAGTAGATGGTTGTATAAAACTGGTATCTGAACATCTCTCAAGCAACATCACGTTTGCAACGGTGGAAGGGGTCCTTACACCCCGGCGGAGCCGGACTCCCCGGAACGAGGCAATTCGAATACCGGTCGCTGGGGCAAGCTCCCTGGTTCCGATTTTGAATCGCCCCGTAAGATATTGTTGTCGGCTTTTTTGCAAGGAGCCACCTAGTACCTGCAGCATAATGCCTGAGCAACTCCCCGCCGTCGAAGTCGTCCAGGTCGACGCCGGAAAAGTATTCCCCAACCATCCCATTGCAGGGATAGGTTCCGTTTTGAACAAAAAGTATTGGATCAGCTGAAGCTCCCCTGAATCCAACCAGATCAGAGCCCTGATCTCCAAAGCTGATGAACAGAATAAGTAGACATAGAAAACTGATTTTTCTCTCAATTAGTCCCATTGCTTATCCCTTATCAACGCTTCCAATGATCGATATTGGGTATTTATATAGCAAGGAATGGAGCTATATAAGAAGGGGCATTTTATCTTGATTTGGAGCAGAGTTGGGGCCTGGGGGAGAACGTAACTGAATTTTCAAACGGATTGCACTCCATTGAATTTTTCAGCCACTTCGCCAAAGTCTACTGCCAAACAGTTTTGAAGCTAAACAATTGCGGACATCCTCCGAGATATACATCAATTCTGGAAATCATTTCTTTTGGCCCCTTGTCACTATCCTTTTTCATTAAATCAAATCCTTATTTCTTTTCCAATTTGTTTATTTTGATTGACTTGGTTGATGATTTGTGGCTTGGGGGGTGGGGGGAGCAGGAAGCGGTACCTTGATTGGTATTCCGGCGATGGTTCCGCGGGTGAGTGCTTTCTTGATTCTATTAATTGGGCTTTACTTTCTTCATACAGACAATAAAGAAAACACGGGGGGTTTAAGTTTAGCATAGGCACATAATAACTTTTCTCTTTAAATTGTGTTTTCATCTTCTTTAAGTATACCTTGGCCTATACGAATTCAGTTACAAGAGGAATATAGATTTCTAAATCCAGCAAAGAATGTATAGATTAGTAATCATAAATGTAAATCCCGCAAAAAAAAAAAACAAAATTTAACTTCCACCCTTTGTTTCAATTTGTATGCACCTTCAATATTTAGAACCACAAAAGAAAGCAGTAAGCCATTCTTTCTCTGCGTTTCTTAATAAAATGATAAATTTATGCTAACTGACCAAGTGGCTAGGTAGAAGGTAATATGGTTGTACAAGTAAAAACAAGGGTTCATTTCCCCATTGACCCTCCAATGCGAGAGTTATAATGTTGCCATTGAATTCGTGGAATGTGGTTTTTGTGCATTTTACAGTCATCCATTATTCACATTTACTATGACATTTGTGTACTTGGAATTGTTCTAATAACTCTCGGTAGACAATTAAATAAATTCATTCCCCAATCTCTTTAATAACTCTCGTTTACAAGATTAAAAAAAAGACAAAGAAAGAAAGAAAGAAAATATTACTCATTGACCAACGGTATTTCCATATATAGGAGGAGATGATCCCTCTGACAATTGGATATCTCGCATGTTTATGGGATAGAAAACTCGATCGATAACACAGTAGTTTGTTTCTTTTTTTGGTAGGGTTTTTCAGATTATTTTATAATTAAATGTCTCATCCCGACGTATCTTTTTATATTTCTAATACAATTTTTTACATTCTCAATACAAAAAATACATAAAAACACACAGTAAAAAAATAAAACAAACATGAGAGTGAGTTTCGACTAAGACAAAATGCACTTTTAAAAGAGTGAAGGGGAAAAAAAAATCAAGAAAAAACAAATCAAAACACTTGATGCAAAGAAAGGAGATGAGAGAATGTATTCTATTTTGTCTGCAAAGAAAACAAACATGAAAGCAATCAAACACCAGAGCCTGAGAAAATACATATGATTAAAAAGAAAGATCCCTGTTCAAACTTCTCAAACACGACGATCTTATGAATCACATTGTTTAAGATCAACCAGGAGCATGTTTACAACGTTTGTAAGGGTCCTTACACCCCCGGGACCCACCGCCCCGAACTACTACTATGCATTTCGAATACGCACCGGCCGAGCAAAATGGCCGGTTCCCATTTTGAGTCACCCCGTATGTAATTGTTTGTGGAGTTTGTAGGAGCCAACTACTTCCGGCAGCATTTATGCCTGAGCAACTCCCCGACATCGAAATCGCCGGAAATGTCTCCCCCAACCGTCCCATTGCCCTGATTCCCACCAGGGCATAGTACTGATCCCCGAAGCTGATGAACAGAATGAGTAAAAATAGAAAGCTGGTTTTTCTCTCCAATAGTCCCATAGCTTATCCCTTTTCAACGCTTCTAATGACTGATAAAGGGAGTTCTTATGGCAAGGAACAGAGCTATATAAAAAGGGTATTTTATTTTGATTTTGGAGCAGAGTTTGGATTGTAAACGTAAACCATTCAACTCTTTCGGCCGCTTCGCCAAAGTCTAATGTCTACCACTCTTTAAGCTAAACAACTTATCAATTGGCCACAAATACTCCGTATACATCAATTCCTGGAAATCGTTGTTTTTGGGGTCTTGTCTTGACGAGTCCTAATTAGCCCACAACTAGGCCGGCCCAAGTTCGGCGAGCGGTTCAACCGGACTCTGGAAGTTTTTAGGGCGGTTGCTAATTACTTTCTTACTAAGAAAAGGTTCCATAAACAGGTAACATTAGCTCTATAAATAGAGATCAACCTCCTACATCAAAAGTATGCTTTACGCACCACAAACTATACACTTATTACGATTACTCTTACTGACTTAAGTATCGGAGTGTCTATTTTGGGAGATTCCGAGACCCTTTTTTGCAGGTTCTAGGGTTCCGATATCCCTATAGCCACCGGTTCAATCAATTGGAGACGTCGGTCCAAATCCTGTGTCTCTTTGGTTTAGATCAATCCTATTCTCTTTCCCAACTTGTTTATACTTTTTTGATGATTTTTGGGAGAGGGATTGCCTCTTACAGTCATCCATTATTGTTATGATGACATTTGTCTACTTCGAATTGGTCTAATAACTCTGAATTACTACAATTCAGTAAGAACTGAAATTGCGAATGATTTGTTGCTCGAAGATGTTGAGGCAAAGTGAAAAAAAAAAAACAAAAAACAAGCAAACAAACAAATACATGGAAAACACTGGGATTCTAAGATAGATTTATATATACTGTCTATGTAGAGATTAAGTTCTAAAGAGGAGATTTTATAACGTATTGATTAGAAGTGATCGGATTAACAGGCAAATTGTGAATATCAAGTCTTGAAGTTCTGTGAATTGTGACACTGATTTTTTATGCATTATAAGTTATAACGTACACCGTTTACCAACAAGAAAAAGCTCTGAATTCATCGACCATTGTTGTTCTGTAGAAAATAAATCATTTTCCAATCTCTCTATTAACTCTCTCAAATTACAAGATTAAAAAAAAAAAAAAAACGTTACTCCCTGCGCTATGATATATCTATATAGCAGATGATCTCTCTGACGATTGAAATGGTGCAATTTAAGCTTAAGGATGGAAAAACTCAATAGATAACACGCCAGTCATATTCAAATGCTCACCAGCGGAGACACGTGATGGTCTTATACTTGAGTTTGGACACGAGACAAAATACACTTCTTTAAAAAAAACCAATAATAACTGAAAAAATAACCATGCATATGAAATTAAGAGAAGGAGATGACAATGTTGTCAAAACGTCTTGGAATCCGAAGCTAAGACGGCACGCTTGCAACGGTTGTAGTCGCCGGAGCATCCCCCACCGCTATTGCCGGAAACTATGCAATTAGAATACTGAGCCGTACCACAAACTGGTCCTGGCTGAAGAGCTTTGTAGGAAATTGAGGAGTCTGATTGTAGCAGCAACCTACCTCCGGCAGCATTGTTACGGCTGAGCAATATTTCCCCGCCCCCGAAATCGTCTTGATTGCCACCGGGAAACCATTCCCCATCTATAATTGAAGCAGCCGAAGCTCCTCTGAATCCAAGGTAGCAGTAGTGTTCATTGAGGCTTATAGTTATGAACAAGATGAGTAGTAGTACAACATGACATGAGTTTTGCTTCAACATTCCCATATTTCAGGTGGACCCTTTCCAATGATTTTCAAGATATATGGAAAAATGGATGTTCCGTATGTGACAACACTTTTGTTAGAGTACGTGGTAAGGAGTTTGGTTCCTTTTAAATAGAGTTATTAGGCTCGAGTTTTACGAACCAGAAAAATAATTTGGTGAGGCTCTCATGCCTATAAACTAAACGTATTGTTGAGTGAGAATTAGATGAAGTATCATGTGTTCGTTTTAAAAAGATTTTGTATAGTCCTTGTTACCAGAAAGTATTATATATTTGAAGGGAATATTGTGAATTGGAGAGGAAGCATGGGAGTTTCTTTTTGGTTGTTCATAAGTATAAAAACCGATGTAACATCTCTATCAAAAGTTTACTATCAACTAATTTCAAGCTAATTTGTATTTCTATCAATGGCCGACAATTATGGAGATATAAATTAATTTAGGTAACATTTGGTTCGTTTTAATTGGTGTAATAACTCTATATTCTTCATCACCATATTGATGTTTCAAATATATTCAGTCGTTGGGCAACTCGCAAGTCATAACCTACCGGCCGGAGTTATCTCTGACGAGTTATAATTAACATTAATACTAGAGAAATTTTAAGGATGCCATGAGTATCACATATGATTTGGCCGAAAAATGATGTTCGAACTTGGAAGGATCGGAATGTCAAAGTAACACCTAACTTGGTTGACTGTTTAAACTTTAAAGGACAGAAAAACCCATTGGTAATTGCCGTCTTTATTTGCACGAAAATTTACTGAAGCAGCTGGTAGACTATTGATCGTGAAACAAATTTAATTTGTACTCGCTAGGTTTGGCGTTAGGTATCGCGATAGAGCCATCATATTATCGATATACACGATTGCGGTCTTAAATTAATTTATCATAATATTATAAGGATAATTTATGGTAAAAATTGTATTCATTTAAGCTTTTAAACTTTGCTTCCTATCTTTACAAAAAAAAAAAAAACCATCCCTTGAGCTTCTGAACGCATATAGTTTGTTTTGGAGAGTATTGCAATTTCGACACTCAAAACTCTATTGATAAATATACTAGTTAGTTACACAATGAGAGTTTTCAAATTGCAAAGTCGAAATATGAACTATTCAACCGTCATCATCATCGGAAGAACAAGATACAATACAAAATGTTCAACTGCCAAACACCTTTACTATGGAAAAGTCCGGCTCGCCAAAATCGATCGAGCCCCTACCCCATATTCGTCCATGATAGTAGTAGAAGTGTTTTTATAAGATGAGTGCGATGGGCATGTCATGCCTTTTTTATTTTATTTTATTTTTGCATAACTTGTTTAGTGTACTAATTTTCAAACAATGTTGATTACCAAATTAATAAACTTTTCAAAGGAAAAAACAATAACATACGCAAGGGAAAAGCGTGCGTTGAACATTCAAAAGTTGACGTTTTACTAGTACACGCATCATTTGGTTATCCTTGATTACACACTACTGTATTTTTTCACTAATTTAAGTTGATTATTCCTATGGATCGTAATTGTTAAACTAAGATCATTCAATAAACAGAAATCTTATTTCACGAGGATGAATCATTATTTCTCCAACTCTATCTGTGAGGTTTTACACAGCCAAAAACTCGGGTTTATATTTTGCCCAATCCCCTTATAGCATCATGTACCAATTGATGACCGTGACAACTGAGAATCAATAATGAACCATGCCAATAATTCATTCTTCTTTTTCTTATATCTATCGATGGGACAAGCATATCCCTATTTGCTTTTTGTTTCGCAAGTTGTTCCTTTCATTTTCTGGTCCGTGAACAAAGTGTACTCTCTGTGTTTCTCGTCTAATCGTTATTATTGTAAACAATCATCCAAATTACAACATCACAAACTTGCTTTTTTGTAGTACATTATTTCACATGGGTTATGACCTACTCAATCCATTGTCTATTTCTAGTGCTGGACTAGTTGAACTTTTTCTGGTACATGAATCACGAGATGTTCCAACCATTCTTATACATCAGTAATTAAGCAGAAAATTGCCCATAAGCATGTATGCTGAAGTACAATCGAACATCATGTAACAGTTAGTTTCACTTTACAACCAGGATATAACAGATTTTTAAGCATATGGTAAAATGTGGTCAGAAACCAAAAGCTGTCTCATTTTCTTCAAGCTCATTCCTGTTATGTGCATCATATCCTTGAATAATGCTGCACAAATTCTCATTCTTTTACCTGCCCACCCTTCCGTTAAAACTTAGTAGCATAAACTAATCAACATCATGAATACATTTAACCAAAATTGGGACAGTCGAAAATCAACATGACATCTAATACTCGGTAAAACATGACTAGTCTCCTTTTAACATGAAACAACGACGCCTTGGAGCCATACTGCCATAGGGCTCATGCCAAAAATTGCCCTGAAAATTTACTTCACGTGAGTACTGGGATCTTCAGCTCCTTCGCCCGTACTATTATCATCGCCATCTTCTTCATCATCACTATTATCATGACCATCTTCTTCGCCAATACTATTATCATCACCATCTTCTTCTTCCTTCTCGTGATGACTAATATCATCATCATCCTCATCATAATCATCATTATGGCCATGTCGACTAACCTTGGCATATTCCTCAATTGATGAGGCCGTAAATAAGTCTCCTACCTTGCTGTCCTCGTTAGATGGCAATTTTGGAGGACCCTGAGGTTTTGCCTTGTTCATCTGTTGCGAAAGTGGACCAAATTTGAGACAAGTGAGAAAAGTAACCAAAATTATTGTCACATGAACAAAGGTTGGAGATGCACAAAACAAGAGAGAAAAGTCCAATCAAATCAAATCATTGTCCAGGCAGGAAAATTGACAGACATCAGTCAAGCAAATTGATAGTCCAGATGCAAAATAGAATAGCGATAGTAACAAATTATAAGGCGTGAAGCCAGAGATTTTTTACCGTGCGTAATAGAGTCCTCCTATCTCTCTCCCTAGCATTATTGATCGCCTACAGACAAATGCCATAGCAATTAGTTCAAAATCCAGACATAAATAACAATCTCAAAGAACAAAGAACTGTCAAAGAGTAATATAATTGAGGAAGGGAAAAGGATCAGCCATCTCAAGAATTCTGACCTCCTCTAGTCTCTTCCGCTCAGCCTCAACTTCTGAAACATCTCTGCACCAGAAAACAAAGAATCATAAGCTCCTAACAAACATTTCATACAACTTCCCATCAACAGCGAATTAAAACTCTGTAACAGGGCCTTAAGATGTGAAATACCACTATCCCATTCAATGGCAGCAAAAACAATAAGATACCTTCCAACAATATGCCCAACTCGACACGAGCACTTAGCACACACATTATTCTCCTTCGCACAAGCTGCAGAATCAATCACAGTCAATCAAGATTCATTTTTTACAGAACTACTACAATTAAATGGATGAAAAACATCAGAAAAGACAAAAAATTGAATGAACATTTCTTCTTTACAGCAAAATACAACAAAATTCTAGTATGCAGTCTAGCTCAAGTCTTAAAAAAATTTGCAAACTAACCGGTGCAGAGATTATGGTAAGCTTGCCGAACAGCCCGTTTGGAACATTTTTGGCTGAACAAAGGAAGCAAAGGAAACAAACACCAAGAGTCAAAATTAATCACAAATAAAGAACACATATGCAATAAAAAAATCTTTCAAAGACAAAGAGAAGGACTCAAAAGGAGGGAATTTTTTGAAGAACCATTTAGCAGGCTCAGTGAGGGGTTTGTATTTGCCGTATTTGCGCTTCCATTCAATCTGTTCTTTACATCTGGTGCATACTCCTGTGACCTCTGAATACGGCCGGAACTTCCCTCCTACTTCCTGCAATCGTTAGTCCATTACCGCAGTATAATCAGCTTTAATTCGACTATATAATCTTAAAATCGAATGGAGCGAGAAACAGAGAAAAAGGGAAGAAAAAAAATTACGGTTTCATTGATCTTAACGCCGGCTTTGGGCTTCCAGGCGAATTTGTTCTGGTGCTTTGGAGGACCTTTCCGGGTACTCATCGTCCCGTCGATTAACTCCCCGCCGACAGCAGGGTTCTTGATTCTTTCCCCAAATGATAAAAACCTAATTTACTCCCATTTAGCGTATCCCTTTACTTTTAAAACAATTGCATATTCGTCCTCCCGTATTTGCATATTTTTTCATACGGCGGAAAGATTTGTGAAACTTTTCTGAGTGGTCCAAGTCAGTGTAGCTGTGTAGGAAACTAGACATGATGATAATGAGCCAAAATATATATATATATATATATATATATATATATATATATTAAAAGAGAGTAGTATAATTATAACTAGACGCTTGGTCCGGGCAAATGCTCGGGCGGCCCCTCTAAATTACTATTTTATTAAAATCTAATTGAATTACTATTTTTGTGATAAGACGTATCTTTTTTAGTTGATCTTCATCTAATTTTGTGATTTGGAATATAATATAGGAATAATCTGCTCTTTGAAAAATATTTTGATCTGTAAACTGAATACAGTCACGTTGCTATGCTTGATAGTTTGGTTTTCTAAAATTTGTTTCCTTATTGAATTCCTTGATTTGTGGTATAGTGGCTTGTGTTAATTATTTCAATTTTGAAATCTTTGATTTGTGGTGTACTGGTTTGTGATAATTGTGCTATTTTGTAAGATGAATCTACAATGGAATTTTTTGAAACAGACCGTGAAGAAGTGGAAAAGGAAATATTCATAATTAAGGAAAAAATATTACTAAAGAAGTGGAGAAGGGAAATTCTACTGACTGTACGATTGGACATTTAAATTTGAATTAATATATCCATTCATTTGAAATGTAACTGATCCTTATTTGTAGAATTCCTTTTATTGGGTTCGGGCCACATCTAAAACATGTGTTTTTTTTTAAAAAAAAATTATATAGCTTCTAATTAAAAGAGACTTACACGTGTCAAAAAGGTTTAAAAAATCTGAAATACGGTGCATTGGAGCTAAAACAGATTCATACGTAGTCGCCACATTAGCTTCATGTCTTCTGCTTTAATAGGGTAAAGGGAATGATACGTGAAAAATAAAACTACTCTTTTTTTCTTCTTTTTTCTTTTTCTCTTTTGCTAAATAGAATGAGATGTGGTTACATCACTCTAGAAAAAGTAAAAATTGTGAGAGCATTTTCTTAATTAATTAATCACAATAATTTTAATAAGAATTTACTATTAGATTTTAATAAAGAATATTGTTACATACACTTCCATAACCACGTTGATGATTTTAATACATAGTCTTATTGTACCCAAAAAATAAATAAATAAAAATTCATAGTCTTATGATCACATTGATTGGTTGTGGATTTGTAAGTAGAGTCATTCTTGTGTTCCACAATGAGGGTTCAATAGTCATATTGTATTATTGTCTTCCTTAAACTTTTCATTACATATTTCAAAAACAAAAATCGGATGAAATAATTGAATGTGTTTTGTATCCTCTTTGTAAACTAGTCAGTTAGCTCATAAATTATAGGAAAATATAAAGAAGGACATCAACAGTAATATCTATTAGTCATTTGACGAAAGAATGTAATCTCCTTTAAAATAAAAAAAAATCAGTTACACGCGGGGAGCACTTGCAACAAGCATTTCATTTTGAAGAGGATAATCTTAGAACTATATACTCCATCCTTTTCATTTTGAAAATCTGCTTTCTTACTGTATAATAATTCGTAAACTACAGGGGAGTGATTATTTACATTTTATCAATACGTGCTGCAATCATCTACTACTATATTATTATCTACTACATATATTAGATAAATTTTTGGTGGTATATCATCACATGTATAAGTCTCTTTTTCTCCTCTTATGTTCAACTTTTTCCGTTTCTTCTGATTTACCATCATTATTATGATTTTTTATTTTTCATTCAATCCCGTAATAATGGTTTGTCCTTAATATAATTCTTTATTTCTCTATCAATCTCGTAATAATTGTTTCATTATTTCATTCATAATGGGATTCATTTAATCTCTAGAGTTACAAGTTTTGTTTCATCTTTCTTTTCATGAATTCCATTTTCTTTTCTCACTTTTGTTCTCTCTGATTTTCTACCCTTTAAATAGAACTCTTTGGTTAATAATCTCTTTGATTGTTAGCCCTTTGTGCTTGGATTTTCTTTCATTGGCTTCCTATTTCCATGAAGAAAAATCATATAGTTTACGCTCCAGTTAAGTGAGCACAATGTATATGATTCCATTTTATTTTTTTTATGATGATATTTTAATTTTAAACTAAAACAAGTAACAAAAATTTAGAGAATTGAAATATTTTTTAAATTTTTTTTGCATCTCTCTCTTTTTCTTTTCTTTTTTTTTTAAGTGAACTAGGTCGGTACCTGGCGGGCATCTTCCTGATTTTATTGATTAAAAAATAAAAAGTACAAGGGTCAGTGCTTAAGACTTACTCTAAAGGAAGAACCGTTGTACAAAGATTTTTTGAAATCCCCTAGCGATTTTGGTGCAATCTTACGCTAAGAACTATTTTACAAAGATTTTCTAATATCCCCTAACAGTTCCAACTTGAAAAATCAAAAGTAAATACTCTAAGAGTTTGCTTTACACAGATCCTGCAAGAATCTCCTAGCAGCTCTGATAAATTACATTTACATTTCCTTGACAATAAAAAGCTAACTATTACAAATAGAATCATCTTATTCTCAGGTAGGGAAATGATCTTTGGTCAAGATAGAATAGTCCTCTAACCTTGCTGGGAAGCGACTGGAATTCTGAGATTTCCATTGAGGCTCCTTCCGATTCAAACTTAGCTAGAGCATTTGTCACCATATTTATTTCACGATAAACATGTGTATATTGATAGTCATTCCTCTTGATAATGCTCAAGATTCAAGTAAAATATCAGAGTATCTCCAAAGAAAAGATTCTCCTCTATGAAGAACGTCAGTAGTGACTTTGCTATCTGTTTGAAAAAGGACTCTTCTTAGACCTAGTCTCTCGCAATAACGAAGACCTTCCAAGATTCCTGATATTTCGGCATAAAAACTATAATGATTTGCAATGTATCCATAAGCCGCTTTAGTCAAATTACCTTGATCACTTCAAACTATGTAACTCCATCCTGCTTCTCCTAGACTTCCCTTAACTGAGCTATCTGTATTTAAAATAAAACACCCTAGATCCGGTGGCTTCCATGAAACAACCTATATCAACTTAATTAGAAAAGCTTCTCTATTTTTTGTTACTCCTCATAAGTGCTTGCTTTCAAACAGTAGATGCGCATCATACCTGCAATGTTAGATTTAATTGAAAAAATGACAGAATTAAAAAGAATAGAAATACCTTGGTATATCGCTTGATTTCTTACTTTCCAAAGTTCCCACAAAATGAAAGCCGGAAGTGCCATGATAATTGTTTTTTTCGCTGTCGAGTAACTTCCTTTCAAAAACCAGATTTTCAAATAAGACCATAAAGATTCCATGGTGGGAAGAATTAGGTCCAGCTTATCTTCAAAAAATCTCCACACTTTCTTTGCAAAAGCACAACGAAAAAAGATATGCTCTAGCATTTCTTCGTGATCTTCGCAAAATGAACACTTAGACGGGAACACGTAAAATCCAAGCTTCCCGATTGCTTCAGGAAGAGGCAAGATTCAATTATAAAGTCTCCAACAAAATAAAGAAATCCTTAATGGGATGACTTTATTCCAAAGGAATTTGATCGGATGTGAATTATCTTGAGTGTCTCGAAAGGCCTCATATGCTGTTTTGATGGAGGGAACCTCCGACTTTGATGGCTTCCATATGAAGACATCTTTTGAAGCTGATAACTCAACAAAATCAAAACCTTGAAAAGATAAAAATTCCAGGTGAGGCGTTGTTAAAACACTCGAGATGATCGACATAATATTCCCTCGTCAACAAAGTCCTTGACTGTAAGGTTTGGAAGAGGCTGTTGATGTTGCTGATTTTCACCCCTTAAAGCTCCTAATTCAGACCAACTATCGAAACAGAAAGAAACTAAGCCTTGACCAAGTTTGAGATGTGAGCACGCCGACGTTTTCGAATCAATCTTTAATGTACGCTTCCAACTAGTTGTTCGGTTTTTTGCCGAAAAAGACAAAGAACGAGTGAGTTTAGCCCACATTCCAGCTTTTGTCTTGAACTTCCATCATGATTTTGCTGAAAAAGCCTCTAATACTTTATTGAACTTTCTCAATCCGATACCATTTTCTTCCACCGGAAAAGTGAGATGTTTCCAAGATCTCCAATGTTTTTTGAAACCATTTTCAGATTCTCCCCATAAAAAATTTTGACAGCGAGCTTCTAGAGCGTGGATAATGTACTTTGGGGGTTCTAGAGCTGCAAAAGTATGAATTGAAATCGAAGAAAGGACATGTTTGATCAAAATGAGCCGCCTCCGCTAGATTAGAATTTATTCTTCCAATTAAAAAGCTTGGCATCCAAGCATCCAGCAAATATTGAAAATGTTGTCCAAGTTTCCGTCCTTTGAAAATCCTTGATCCAAGATAATGAAGAGGAAGTGAACCCTTTTGCATTCCTAAAATATGATGAACCCGATTTATTTGCTCATCATTGGCTTTTTCAAAAACCAAGAATTCACTCTTTTGCCGGTTAATTTTCTGCTCGGTTGCCCTTTCATATGTAAGAAAAAATTCATCCAGAGTTTCCAGAGATTTTTTCGAGCTTTTGGTGAACACAATCAAATCATCCGCATAGCATACATATGAGATTGGTAGAGTACCAGCTGGAACTCCATGGTTTGCAATCTTCCCAGTTTGATTGAGGTAGTTTAGCCGTCTTGATAAAGCTTGTGAAATGAGAATAAATAAGTACGGCGATAAAGGATCCCCTTGCTTGATACCACGAGAGGCTTGGAAAAAACCCGTTGGAGCGCCATTGATCAAGACTGAGAACCAGCTATCATTGAGATTATTCATAACAAGCTTGATGATATCTGAAACCAAAAGAAAGCATGATAGACTTCAAGAAACTCCAAGAGACCCGATCGAAAGCCTTCTTCATGTCTAGTTCAATATCACATTTCCTGCATAAGTCTTATTATCAAAAAATTGACATAGGTCCTGAGTCAAGAGGATATTATCTGAGATATCACGTCCTGCTAAAAAGGCCGATTGTTCCTCCGATATTAGCTTTCCCAGAATCGGCTTGAGTCTCTCAATAAGTATACTTGTGAAGACTTTATTTATGAA